TACTATCGTAGATAATTAATAATAATAATAATAATAATAATAATAATAATAATAATAATAATAATAATAATAATCATCATCATCATCATCATCATCATCATCATCATCATCATCATCATCATCATCATCATCATTATAATCATAACAAATTTAACGATTATCTGACAGTCCAATTACGTACATTTAATATATATTATATTAACGTTGTTACCAATTTGAGATTAAAATTGTTTTGAAAAAGATCGATGTTGATGACGTCGCATCTCTTATGATTCTCTTATCGACTATATTTTTAGTCTTTTTTTTTATTATAATACTCTGTAATTTTTCCCCTATTACTTCGTAATCATAAATAATTGTATAAATAAATTATCTATAAATTCGTACAGATAACATTTACTACCTTTTAATACAAATGAAAATCGATTCGGTATTAGAAAATTGAAGATCAATATGCAGAGTATACATGAACATTCCTTAATCACAATATCCACTTATAAAGTCATACACCAAAATTGTAAAAACAATAATCACAGATGTAAATGATGAAGCATACTTCAATTACCCTTACCGGCAACTCCTAATTTATATAATACTTATGTTTCTTGCACAAGATAACATTGTCTTAAGTCTCTTTGTTAGCACAAAACATTTGGCATATACACACCAAGATGAAAAGTAAGATTACATATTTGTACCTCACGATAGGCCTTGCGGTGTGAAACAGATCTTCTCCAATTCACCAGTCGAAGAACTAACAGGAGATTCTGCTCGCTCGTCTTGTTCAGCCAATTGTTCGCTGTAGTAATGAGGCGTGCTAAGATAATCGATGAGGCGACGAGGTAAAGGTAACGTTGAGATGAGATCCCTGCGCACCATCTTTAAGATGACAAATCTACATGTATGCTGTAAACTTTGAACTTGTTTGAATCTGGATACTGGATGCAAAAGTTGCACTCGCATCGGACCCAACACCGGTCGTCGATGAAGAAAGAAAAGATAACGTCCGCTTCTCGAGTGTTCCACCGCATTTTCAATGAAATCGACGATTGTATGAGATTTGAATTTCGTGCAACTTCCAAAACTAAAAGTACCTGAAATGTTTTCATTATATGAGCGAGCTACTGCAGCTAATTCCGATGATAAAATGAATTTTTATTACCTTGATCATGTTCTATCCTAACATGTCGCACGCAACTATTAAGTCTAAATGATAAAGAGAAAATATAGTGATCATCGCTGCTGTCTCTAACAATGAAAGATCCATCTGGTTCGTTTGATAAGATTTTTTCTGCAGCTTCACCTGATATAGGTCCCCAATACCAGCCATACTATTAAAGAAGGAATATTATGAAAAATGTAACATGAATGTTGTAATCATTTTGTTATATATATAAATGAACGTTTAACTTACATCTTTAACTTTTTCAATACTAGCAGCAAAATCGATACTTGTATCTTCTACTGTTTCTTCTTCAGACCGAGGAGCAGAAGTTGGCATTTGTTGTACGGAATTTGGAGATTCTGATTTGGATACCATAGCTGTAAGAGCTTCTTCCGCTTGTTCTACTCCTACTTGCCCATTAGTTTTCGGCAGAGGTGGTAATGCGCGTTTGAAAAAAGGCATTTTTTGTGCAGACGTATCTACCTCTGATGTGGTATTGTTGTTATTTGCGTGTTGGTCAGAGTCAACTCCTTCTTCCTCTTCAACAATTTCACCCTGCACGATACTATTTCTTTTTTCTACGAAATGATCGGGAGAACCCAAGCGTCTGAATCTAAAGATATTGCACAGCGTTTGCTTTAAATTTAATGAAAAGTTTCGTTGACTCTTTTTTATTTTATCCCTTTCAGAATCGGCCTTCTCTTTATGTGGTTCTTCCCTTACCTTCTTATGTTTAATACTGACAAATGAATTCTTTTTGTGCTTCTTAATATTACTATTATTATTAATATTGTTATTATTATTATTATTATTATTATGAATCAGTCCATTACTACTCTTATTAGAAATTGGTGTGTCAGTTGAAGAATCAGTATGTGTATTACTATATCTATTATTATTATTTACAGTAACACCTTTTGGCATTGCAAGATGTATGGGCGTATGCCCTATGGGGGCCTTATCACGCTTAATTTTATTTTCACTAGAATCACTGGAGCTTGAATATAATGTTTGTAGATATTGCCGAACTTCATGTAATGTCATATGAATTGGTTCTCCAATATTATGCGTATGTCCATTTGATATTCTAGATCCATGACGACCAGATGTACCTGGAACACTATGACGTTTTCCATTTCCAGCTTCATTGCAACACATTTCAGCTAGCAATCTTTGTGACTTAATAACATGCGTTATAGCACGAGATTTTCCACAATAATGTCTGGCCTGTTGAATATGCGTTACTAATTCACTTTGTGAACTAGCGGATACGTTTCTTCTTCTCTTACGATGATGTCTATGACGCTTAGGCCTTTGTGGTGTCTTAAGATCATGCAATGGCCTGATTACATCTATCGGTACAGTATAAATATCAGAATCAAAGGGCACATTATACATATCACTGATTTCACTAGTCGTTAAAACATCGTGTGACATAGCAGAAGTTATGAAACTGCTATCATCAGCTTTGTGACTTAATCCTGTAGTATTTATAGAATTATGGGAACTGGACAAACGTGAAGAAGCTAAAGAACATCGTGAATTTGGACGATTCAAGGTATTATACGGAGTGATCGTAATGGTTGTAGTTCCTTGACAAGAAGGTGTCAAGAAATCTGTTGCCCATATGCGTTTAGGATTATGTGTGTTATGCGTTACCACAGGAACAGGATGTGATGCAGTTACTATCCTTCCTTCCGGCCATGATATTCTACAAGATATAACCAATGCCTCCTCGATAATAGACTTAACAAAATTATTAGCAAATTCGTCTATACATTGCGGAACTTTGTGTTGCAACAATTGTTCATAACTAAGAATGGGTGCGGAAAAGGATTCAGAATCAGCTGGCGAAGGACTGTCTTGAAACTCTGGTGGCGGTTTAATAGCAACATCGACAACTTCCACCTCCAATTTACCATCTGCATCGTTCCAACCTGGCCCCTTCTTTAATGTATTAAAATTTTCTCCACACATACCATCTGAATAATCAAAGGAATCTTGTGATAAAGATTTGCTTTCTATATCGCTTTCTTGCATCTAAAAATAATTACGAATAAAAAAAGATATCCTTTAATTAAAGACATTGAATTTATTTAAAATTTAGTTAAATCATTGGAAATTATACCTCGATAGCAAGATGAGCACGCACAGAATCACTAGAAATGGAACCCCCTAGTCCACTGCTACCAAGATCACTTAAAGGTCCGGTAGCACTGAGTGAACATGACGGTGGGGAATCCATTTCAAAATCTATTTAAATATCTGTTATTAATTTTACAGTAGCCAAAATTTCTGGAAGTCCCAAGTAACCCCCTGGAACATAATTCAACATTTTATTTTTTATTTAAAATAAGATTACCATTATATTTGAAAAACACAGAACATTCCATAATCTATTTTTCTTACCTGAAAATAGCAACTGTAAACAATACACGAATATCTTATCATCTTCGTATCTGTATACCCAATTGTACTTATTATATGGTCCATTTTGATATAAGATCTAGAAGCCATAAAGCTTGCCAACTAGAGTATTTTAATCTAAAATAATACAATAAAATCATTTATTTGTAAACACGAATAGATCATTACATTTATGGCTTAATTATATTACTTAATATTCATCACTTTTTCTCTAGATTTATTTAATCCAATTGAAAATTAATTGATATAAGAATATTTAAAAAAAAAAAAGTATAAAAATCTCTAACGATTACTATAATTAATATATACGAAAGAATATAATACCAATATCAGGATCATTACATTACGCAATATCGTGTTAATAACAATGTTTAAACAGGACTTACAAATCCCAAATGGTATATGCTTTTGTGTTATAGAACATTAGTAAAAAATGTCAATTTTAATGATAATTAAATAGACGAATAAATAATATTGAAAAGACTTCGATACTTAAATGATTATAATTGATATAATAAAATATTATTCCTAATATTTGAAATATCTTGACGAAAAGACATGCCGTGTACTAGAATAAGTCTCACGTCCCGGCAGGGTTAATGTTTGCATCTGAGGTAGTAGATCACCTTTGACGTTTAAGCAGAAAATAATTCATTTACGTACTTATCTTTCCTTGTTTGCAGCCCATTCGGATTGATAACATTGCCGTTGTCCAAGCTGCATATTAAAATAACACTTATGATCGTCACACGATCTGCATTCGCAAGACAAATCAATATTTAAAAGACAACCGCGAGGACTACACATTTCATCTTACTCCATGTCAGTTCTGTTCCTAGATTCCTTCTGTCAACTGTACAATCCGAAGTAAGCGATTCCATTCGCGTACATTCGATGAATAAAGATGAATTTCTTAGAAACGGAGAAGAACTGATCTGTGTAGCGTATATTCTAAAATACTCTAATCATATAAAGAGACATTTTATTTAATATTGATAATATCATTGATAAATGATTAAAAAAGATAATAAGACTTGTGTGATCGTGAATGTATAGTTAAGTAAAAAACGATTTGAAAAGTTTCGATTTATGTGCAAATTTACAACATCCAATCAAATTTCTCCGTTAGTATTTTCTATTGATTTAATTGGTCGACTCGTTCATACACTTATATGAATTTTCGTTATTCGAGTATTTGGTTTTACTAATCTTTTTCTTTTTTTTGTTCTTACAATTAATGATTCATTTAATACGTTAGCTACTAAATTAGTTTCGTATAAATATTTATTTTCGTTTTATATTATGTATTATTAATTTTAAGAGAGGAAAATATACATATAAATATCTTCTTATTTGATTATATTTTTTTTTTTCCATTAAATTATATTTTTATTCAAAGTCTACATAGGAAGTACCAGTTATAGTTAGTTCGTTAATGACTATTGCAGTACTTAGTTGCCGCGTTTAAAATCATTTAACCTGCGCATGTAATGTAGTCAAGATGTCTGACAAAAAAAATTCTGTCACAATTTTTCATAAAATGATTACATACACAAATTTAATTCGGAAAATTACATAATGTAATATTCTTATTATACTAGTATGTATATATTTCTTGGAATAAGTATGTAACTTTAACTTGATTGTATTTTTAGGTGCCAACAATGTAGAAATGCCAGAAATAATTATAAATATGGCATATTTTTAGTGTGGTTTCAGTATTAAAAGTTAGATATAACTGAGTGTAGGATATCCAATTTTTCTTAATGTAATTATAATTTTATAAGTGAAACAAATAATATAATAAAGCACATAGTTTCTTAACACTGTAAGTTGATGAATTTGTTCTGATAATCATTACGCAATGTAGATAATGATTATCATATTGGACACATTATAAGATTATAATAAGTAAATTATAATATTTGTTAAGTTAAACAGTACGTTTGATCTGTTACAGTCTCTAAAAGCTAAGAAAATGGAAATGAATCTTAAACGATTAGCTGATATTTTAAGCATTTTCATCATAGCCATGTGCTTTATATTAAAGGTTCCGCAAATTTTTAAATTAATTTCTGTAAAGTCTGCCAAACAAATATCTATTTTAGGACTATCGTTAGAATTGACAAGGTAATATTTGATTATTCTACTTTATATTTTCTTGCAACTTATGATATATGCAATATTTTATTAGAACGAAAAAAAGAAGTTTATTTTAACATGTATATATGTGTATACACTTATAATTTAATATTGCAGTTATACGATAGTGGCAAGTTACAATTATGTTAATAGGTATTCCCTATTATCATATTTTGAATATCCAGTTATTTTAATACAAGACTATATTTTAATGTATTTAATATTAATATATTCGAGAAAAATGAATATATGGAGCTTATTGTTCACGATTGTATATATTACAATGAGCATTTGTTTTCTATCAGAAATTATACCAAAGATTGTTCTTACATTCTTAACGGTTAGTATAATTATTCAATGTCCATTCATGAATTTATCATCATTGTATAAACATTCACGGAAATATCACTTTTTAGCCAATGTGTACTCCCATATCTGCGTCTAGTAAAATAATGCAATTGGTGACAATTATTAGAGCTAAAAATGCAGATTCTATTTCACCCCTAACTTGGTTTATATCCGCTTTATCAAACTTAAGTAAGTTTTTTTTACAACCAGAGTAACAGTGAATAATACAAATAATTGTTAATTTGATCTGAAATGTCGATATTTGTTATTTCAGTAAGAGTGTTTACCATATGGGTGGATTCTGTTGATATTTTACTATTAGGAAACTTCATCATATCTGTACTTTTAAGTTCTAGTATAATGTTTTCTTCCTTGTATTATAGATATTATAATGTAAAACAGGATTGAAGAAAATAATATTATTTTGTATATCTGAGTAGTTTCAAATAGACATCTTGAAAAGAACATTCAACCACGTAAGTCTAAATGTAGGATTACTTCCTTTTATACAATAATACTAATATTTTTAAACAGAATTTCATTTGATGAAAAATACAAAAAAAAAAATAATCATTTATATAGATTCGTAAAAGGAACGATTGAAATGGCGCGCATTTTAATTAACTTGATCGTGCAATATAACAAAATTGAATAGTCGTTCGCGGTGAATGACTTTATACAATTAACGTTCATTAACAGTAAAAGGCTAATGATCTTTGCAATTAGAGAAGAACGCCAAATGAAATGCCAAGTAAAATATAATAAACTCGTGATTTCCGTGTAATTAGCGTTATCGCAAAAATTTTATCCAAATAGATGTTAACAACCGAAGATTGAAAAAAATTGGTAAAAAAAGGGTAAAGATCGATCGATCGATAGATCATCCTTCGGTGTGTACATATATATATATATATTTTTTTTTTTTTCTATATCTAATTGTAAACAAAAAATATATATGTACGTGATAATTAATAGTTAAACCTAAACTAGGTCAAACTTATCCGAAAAAGAAGAATGAATGAACGAACGCAGAAACGAAGACAATGATAAATGTTAGCATAGTAGATGCTCTATATAGAGTTTAATGGATATAACATAAGAGGATATGTATACACACACGTGTAGAAAGGATACCATGTGGTTCCAGCATGTGTGGACCATCCTTCTTGGGGAGAGCCACCCACCCCCACCCTCCTTCGAGTCGTTGCTTCTCGATGACCCTTTGGCTTGACAGTCTGCATCGAGAAGCCGCTCGAACATCTTATATTATCGTTCATGACGCTTCGCGTTGGTTCCTCTTTCTCTTTCTTTCGCATAATTTTCGTTACGTGCTCGAAAGAGGAGAGAGAAAAGAAGAACGAAAGAGAATAGTGGAGTGTGGGTAGAGAGAAAGAAAGAAGAGAGAGAGAGAGAGAGAGAGGAAATAAAAGGCCCTTAGTAGGTAGGATTTTCAAACAGAATCGTTGATAAAATCGAAGATCTCGGTTGTCGGTCGTCCACGGACGGACCGGCGGTGGTGGATCGTTGATCGATTCTGTCACGATGTCAGGGTGGTGGTGGTTACACGTAATAACACATCTTCTCCTGATCGGTCTATTGGTAAAAAATTCAAAGTCCGAAAGTTTAACGCCACCGTATTTCAATCTTGCCGAGGGCAAGGAGATCACTGCTTCGGCCACGTGCGGAGTCGATACTCCTGGACCAGAACTTTACTGTAAACTTGTTGGCGCGAATGCCGATCAAGATGAGGACATCAATTTAATTCAAGGACAGGTGAGCGCGAATAAAGTTTAATATAAAAATATACTTATTATTGATGGGTCAAAAAGGTAGAAAATATTTAATCAAATATTTATCAGATAAATTATATAATACACCAATTTTTACTAATTTCCTTTCGAGTTGTCCTTTCATTTTTCGATTCCATAAAATCGCCAATATCTTTCAATTAATTTTTCACCAAATAGATTTCTTTATACAGATTTCTTCTTTTATATTTTTATTGGTAGAGTGATCTCTATATATTTTGTTCTGTTGAACTGAATTTTATCTACTTTGATTCTTCGAGACCAAGAGTTTATCGGTTTGAAGAAACAACGACTTGCTTGCTCAACTATTTCCTTGCTTTTCTAACTACTCATCTGCTAAAAAAAAAAGAAAACAATAATTATAACACGACTATATATAAATGTAGTCGCACGATGGTTAACGATTTTTTTATAAAGGATATAACGTTCGTGTTTCATTCGTATCACTTCTTGGGAAGAAAGACGATAAAGGAATAACTTCAAAAAGATCAGCATTATCACGCAAGAGAAATGTGTGTTAATGAAATCGTAAGGGAGAAACAGTATACTTCTTTCATTCATTCATTAATATCGTATTTAATTTGGTATAAACAAAACGAAGAATTAATAATTATAAATCGTATTAATGAAGCAGATGATTATCTTTCTGATAACAAATGAACAGCCGGCCTACGTTAATTTATAATGTTGAATTATTTCAACGAGAAACTATATTAAATACATTTGCGACTTTTTTATCTTTTTTTTTTTTTAAACTCAATAATGATATCACTCGATATTATATTTTAGATGACAAAATTTTATAAGTATTATATATGCGATATAATTATCAAAAGTATTCAAGTTATTTATTTTTCACACTTTCTACGAGGAAGATATTCGTTCGTTATCGTAAGAACATTTTGTAAGCGGACGAAATAAAGCGCTTAAAAAGTCAAAGTAAGAAGTTCGATAAAAGGAGAGATAACGTGACCTCTCGATACACTTTAAATTTTCGTTTCTTCTATTCTGAATATTTTCATGGAATTTTAGTGACCCATCATAAATTAAAAAAAAAAAATCTAATGTTTGATTAAATTTGATTCGAATAAAACAAATATAATTAGGACGATTGATCTCGTGTATTATAAAATCTAACACATTCTTGCATATAATACTCCTATATATTTTTGTTCAGGTATGCGATGTTTGCGATCCAGATAGTCCGGAAAAAAAACACCCTCCGGAATATGCTGTCGATGGTATGGAAACTTGGTGGCAATCACCACCACTTTCTAGAGGCATGAAATACAATGAAGTGACTTTAACAATTGATTTGGGTCAAGTAAGTTACCGAAAATAAAGATAAAAAGAAGAAAAAATATATAATAAATATATGTTACGTGATTAAATTTTTTTATTCCTTTTTTAATTTATATATATTTAATGAAAAAATAAAATTAATTATACTATATAATTAATTTGAATATTAAATATAAATATTAATTTATTTAATGTTAAAATAATCATAAAAAAATGTTGTTACGAAAAATTATACTCGAGGGTGATGGCTGAACGAGCAGGAAAAAGATACAAACTTAGCGTGCAACTGTATTTTATCTATAAAAAAAAAAATTTTTATCATGTTGTAGGCGTTTTCCTGCATGCCGGAAATAATTATCTTCGCGTTATTTCCGTAGTAAAATAAAAAATAAAGTTTCTAATTACCATGCGAATATTTTGTCAATTGTTATTACACATTTTAACATGTTGAATATGTTTGTCATCTAAATCACAATCATTTTTTATTTAAAAAAAAAAACTGTTAGTTGTCCGAAGGATTCATCGTTATTCCTTCACATTTTGATTAAATTCTATCACGAGGAATAGAACGGAGGAAATCATAATCTGGGGTCAATGGTAGCTTATCAATGATTCTTCTTGTCGTTATCTCTATTAATGCTATTGTCGTGATTTTACTCGATACAACGGGATAATATATTTTTTTTTGGCGGAAGTGAAGTTGAAATATTTTTTTACACATTCATGCGAGCAACTTTCTTCTTTTATTTTTTTTATCTTTTTAATTATAGTTTTAATAAAGATGTACTCATGTATAATATATATGTATTTATGTATATAAATTAGGGTATAAGTAAACCAATATATTGCAATTGTATTATTACTGTTTCGTTAACAGGAATTTCACGTAGCGTATGTCTACGTGCGTATGGCAAATTCACCAAGACCCGGGCTGTGGGTACTTGAAAAATCAAAAGATCATGGAAAGACCTGGTCACCTTGGCAATATTTTGCGGAATCCGATAGCGATTGCGTAACATTTTTTGGCGTTGATAGTCATAAACCCATTACTAGAGACGATAGTGTTATTTGTACTACTGAATATTCGAAGATAGTACCCCTGGAGGGTGGTGAAATACCGATTTCTATCTTGAATAATCGTCCATCGGCGAAACATTATTTTAATTCATCGGAATTACAAGAATGGACGAGGGCGACCAACGTGCGCTTTCGTTTTCTCAGAACAAAGAACTTATTGGGGCATCTTATGTCGGTTGTTCGTCAGGATCCTACTGTGACGAGACGAGTAAGAATCTGTTATTGTGTTTTAATTAAAAATACCTGTTAATTAGTTTTTCATTACTAGCGACTCGTATACGGGTTGTCCATGCAAAGGGTTCGCATGAACGACTTACCCATATGGGGGTATTATATATTATTATTATGTAATAATTATATTATAATAATAATAATATGTGTGTGTAATAATTATTGTTTCGGTACTAAGAATAATCTAATATATGATATGATATATATATATATATAATAATAAAATATTTACATATATATATATATATATATATATAGGTAAAAAATATTTATCATTTTCTGTATATTTTAGTATTTTTATTCAATCAAAGACATCAGTATCGGTGGTAGATGTATGTGTAACGGTCATGCGGATACCTGCGATATCCAAGATCCTAGCGTACCAAATAAACTTGTCTGTAGATGTCAGCACAACACTTGTGGACCACAGTGTGCGACCTGTTGCAAAGGTTTTGAACAGAAGAAATGGCAACAATCTACGTCTTTTAAGAAATTTACCTGCGAACGTATGTGTCATTAATTAAATTTAATCTACATTAACATATTTACTTATACATCGACTATAATTGATAATATTTCAGCTTGCAATTGTTTCGGTCACTCGGATGAATGTATTTATGATCCGAAAATTGATGAAAAGCATTTGTCTTTGGACATACATGGAAACTATGAAGGTGGTGGAATATGTCAAAATTGTAGAGACAATACGAAAGGTATTAACTGTAATGAATGCAAACCGAAATTCTATAGACCACTGAATAAACCTCTCAATGCTACTGATGTATGCCAACGTAAGTTAATCGTATAGTTTTTAAAAAGAACGTTAATTGTATTATAGTTAATTTTAATAATTGTACTTTGCTGTAGCATGCAACTGTGATTACTTTTATTCAACCGGAAATTGTGCTGATGCTACTGGTAAATGTGAATGTCGCGAGGAATTTACGCCACCAAATTGCGATACATGTAATCATGGATACTTTGGATATCCTAAATGCCGTCCTTGTGAATGTCATTTACAAGGAACCGATGGATATTATTGTGAAGCAGGAGATGGCCCATGTCCTTGTAAAACAAACTATGCCGGTCATTACTGTGATCTCTGTGCAGAAGGCTATTATAATTTCCCTGAATGCTTACGTAAGTATGTCTTAGAAAATATTTCTAAATTGTTTTATCTCCAAAATATGCATCCATATGAATATAATGTCAAAGATCTGACGTTAAAATATTATTGTAAAAATAATATTCATTTGTAGCTTGTGACTGCAACGAACTTGGTTCTCGGAATAATGTTTGTGATGTTCTTTTTGGTAATTGTACATGTAGAAATAATTATGGTGGAAGAACTTGTAATATTTGCGAAGACGGTTATTTCAACTATCCTTCATGTACATGTATGTATGATAAGAATATTAAGAAAAAAGTGATACTTTTACAAAATTAATATGACTATTATTTACTTTATTTAGATTGCAACTGTGATACAAGAGGTACGAAACAAGGAATTTGTAACAAAAACGACGGTGTATGTTTGTGCAAAGAGGGCTATGGTGGTACTAGGTGCGACCAATGTATTAATGGATATTATGGATATCCTAACTGTAGACCATGCAACTGCAGTTCCATTGGTTCTTCTTCCATTAGTTGTGACAGCATAGGAAAATGTTCTTGCCTTGCAAATTTTGCTGGAAAGGCCTGTGATCAATGTAGTCCAGGATATTACATGTATCCAGAATGCATAGGTACGAATTGGATTTATAGAAATTGATGTTTATGATATATATTTTATTAAAATAGATGTGTACTTTTTTATATAAAGCGTTTTTTTTATTGAATTTTATATTGCAGCTTGCAACTGTGACAGCCATGGAGCAATTGGCGTATCCTGCGATGCGGAAGGCGATTGTCAATGCAGAGAAAACTTTGATGGATCGAGGTGCGATCAGTGTAAAGAGGGCTTTTATAATTTCCCAACTTGCGAAGGATGTAATTGTGATCCAGCAGGTATTGTTGAAACTTTCCAAGGATGTGGTAGTTTACCAATAGGGGAACTTTGCCAATGTAAGAACCGTGTGGAAGGAAGGATTTGTAACAAATGCAAACCTTTATATTGGAATTTGCAACAACATAACGCAGAAGGATGTGAAGGTAATTCAAGTCTTTCATTCCTTGTCTCCAATATTTAATAGTTAGGTGATCTAAATATTTCCTTTTTTAGAATGCCAATGTAATATACCGGGTGTTATTGGGAGTATTGGTGAATGTGACGTGAAAACTGGTCAGTGCATTTGTAAACCTGGAGTGACCGATAGAAGTTGCAGTCGATGCATCGATGGAAGTTATAATCTTCAAGAGAACAATTTATTCGGTTGTTCCGGTAAATTATGATAATCACTTGAGTTCAATTCAAATATTTGTTATTATGCATTTAAATAGATATTATTATTGTAAATAATAATTTATAGATTGCAACTGTGATATTGGTGGATCTGTTAATCCTATTTGTGACAAGCAAACTGGACAATGTCAATGTCAGCCTCGCGTAACGGGTTTGACATGTAAAGAACCTCTAGAGGCACATTATTTTCCAACTCTTCATCAATTCCAATATGAAGTAGAAGATGGCAGAACTTCTAGTAACAGTCAAGTACGATATGACTTTTCAGAACATTTTTTCCCAGGTTATAGTTGGAAAGGATATGCCGTATTTTCTACTCTACAAGACGAAATTATTCAAAATGTTTATATACATAAATCTTCTTTATATCGTATGGTTATGCGGTATGTCAACCCTAACAATGAGCCGATTCTTGGAACTATTAAAATTACACCAGATAGTCCTGCTGAAGTGGAACAGGAATTTAAAGTTCAATTTAAGCCAACGACGAAACCATCGTTCGTTACAGTTGCAGGAGCCCATGACAATCATCCTTCACCTATGGTGATGAATCCTGGGTATTGGACTATTAGTATAGCTAATAAGAAAAGTCTTTTCCTAGACTATTTCGTTCTGTTACCATCAGAATATTATGAAGCAACTATTTTAACTCAAGATGTTAACATACCTTGTAAAGTTGGTTATAAAGGACTCTGCCGTCATTATGGATATCCCAACTTAATAAATTTTGATTCTGTTCGCGGTACTGGAGGTTTTCTCAATGACAACAACATAAGAATATCTTTGACAGAATATTTCTCAGATAAAGAGACCCTTCAAGAAATCGATGCAGAAGAAATGCCAGTTATCAATGATAGTCAAGAAGAGATTCACTTTGAACTTAGAATATCTAAACCAGGCCCACATGTGCTTGTTATAACATACGTTACCTCTGCAGAAGATAGCGAGACTTCTGTGTTATTGATCGAAGCAAATACCGTTGGAAAAGGCAAAGTTACACTTTATCCTTGCAGATATACAAGCATTTGTCGACAAGTTGTAACCGATACATATGATAGAGTTGCCATTATGAACTTCCAGTCAAATTACGTAAGCATAGTTTTAACTGGAGAATCTACTTCAAATATTGCGATTCACTCAATCGTTGCTATTCCATATCATCGCTGGTCCTTAGATTATATCAAACCAAAATCTGTCTGTGTTAGAAAAAATGGTAAATGCGTACAAGGCCTTTTCCCTAGCGCACCCGATTCCAAAAAGATCGAATTTGAATCTAATAATGCGGTTATTGAAATGGATAGTCGGCCATACGGTATTTACGATAATACCACTAAACTAATTTATTTAAATGATAAAGATGCAATGGTAGATATTCATGCCAAAGTTCCAGAACCTGGGGACTATGTTTTCATCGTACAATATTATCAACCAGATCATCCAAAATTTGATTTAGACGTACTAGTACAAAATGGAAAGTTTTATGAAGCTAAAGTTTCTGTACCCCATTGTCCAAGTAACAGTGGTTGTCGCAGCATTGTGCAACAAGTAGATGGCAATACTCGATTTCAATTAATTGAAAACTTTGTGATTACATTTAAAGAAAGCAGTGGAAATGGTATTTGGTTGGATTACATATTAGTCGTACCTGCAGACCAATATAATGATAAAATTCTAACAAAAATACAGTTCGATCAGACTAAGGAATTCCTTAAAAAGTGTGGTAATAATCATTTCTATATAAACGTAACAGAAGAAGGATTTTGTAGAGATTCCATATTTTCATTGACCGCTAATTACAACAATCGTGCTTTATCCTGTAATTGTGACATTTATGGTACAACTAGTTTTAAATGTGAGAAGTTTGGAGGACAGTGTCCGTGTAAACCTAATATTATTGGTAGAAGATGTGAAATTTGTAAAACAGGATATTATGGATTTCCTAATTGTAAACCTTGTTCTTGTCCCAGTAAAATACTTTGTGAACCTGAAACTGGTACGTATTGTTTACAATTAATGTAGTGTTCAATTTCTCTTATATACTATTGTCATGATTATTATATTAATTATGATTTATTCGTTCATGTTTTAGGTGAATGTATTTGCCCTCAAAGAGTCATTGGTGAACGTTGCGATCAATGTAAACCAGGCACCTATGGTTTTGATCACATAATTGGATGCGAAGAATGTAATTGTTCTTTTCTTGGCGTGATCAATGGCGATATGCAATGTGATTTGTTTAATGGCAACTGTAGATGTAAAGAAAATGTGGTTGGAAGGCAATGTGACAAATGCATATCTGGATATTCACAATTTCCTCACTGTGAAAAATGTGACTGTGACGTACGAGGAACAACATTAGATATTTGCGATCAGTATACTGCTGAATGTTTCTGTAAAGAAAATGTTCAAGGTTCTGCTTGTGATGTTTGTAAAGAAGGAACCTTCAACATTCAAGCAAGCAACGAAGAAGGTTGTACAAAATGCTTTTGTTTTGGAAAAACAACACGTTGTACTTCCGCAAACCTCTACAGAACTCATATTTTGGATATGAACAACTGGGAACTTGCAGTACAAAATGAGAAGACTGGAAATTTATCATTTCTAACAACGATACCTCAGGAAATAAATTCAACTTCTATAATCACTGATCTAATAGCTAATGACATGTTGGAAAATATCGTGTACTTTGCAGCTCCTGAAAGTTATCTTGGCAAAAAGTTAACTTCATATGGTGGATTTTTAAATTATACGATAAGCTATAATACTGGACCATTTGGAAAAGCAGTAAGTGCGGCGGATGTAATTCTTCAAGGTCCAGATACAGTTCTTCTTTTCTATGGTGACGAGCAACCACCTTCTTTTACAAATTTTGTAGCATCTGTTGAGCTTATAGAAACCAACTTTGTGACACTAAGTCGCTTAAGTGTTACTAGAGAACAAATTATGGTAGTTCTTGATAATCTTCAAGGTATATATATTCGAGCTACATACTGGAACCCTAGCATTTTGGCTACGTGAGTACTAATATTTATAAACTATTTGATATAGTTTCTCTTTATTTTATTAATATTTCATATTCATTTATTTTTTCAGATTGTCCTATGTTAGCATTGATATTACAACAGAACAATACTCTGCTGAGTACAGTATCCCAGCCAGTAGTGTAGAGCAGTGTCAATGTCCACCAAATTATCAAGGATTATCTTGCGAAGAATGTGCTCCAGGATATTACAGAGTACAATCAGGTCCTTACGGAGGATATTGCGTACGATGTCAGTGTAATGGTCATGCGGATACTTGCGATGTTAATACCGGCGTCTGCCACGTATGTCTTATTTTTGTCTCTTTTTCTTTAGAATGCTTTCAGTATATTTTTTATGCAAAGAAATATTTAAATTTAAACAAAGTTTGTTAGACAAACGAATTTACAAGTGAACGATACATTATTCTTTTTACAGGATTGTAAAAATGGTACCAAAGGCGATCATTGTGAATTCTGCCAACAAGGATATTACGGAAATGCAACTATCGGCACTCCTTCAGATTGTTTAATTTGTGCTTGTCCACTTCCTGTCGCATCTAATAATTTTGCGTTAGATTGCGAAGTAAATGAAGAAGGTAACAAAATCAGCTGTGAATGTCTTCCTGGCTATTATGGTGCAAGATGCGAAACTTGCATTGCCGGATACTATGGAAATCCAGAAGTTTATGGCGATTACTGTAAGCCTTGCGAATGTTCGGGTAATATTGATACTAATCAAGTTGATTCTTGTGATTCTATCACTGGAGAATGTTTACACTGTTTGTACAATACGCATGGAGAAGCTTGCAATTATTGCGCGCCTGGATATTTTGGCGATGCTGTAGAAAGAAAAGATTGTCAAAGTTGTTCGTGTAACAAATGTGGAATGAAACATTGCGATAATCACACTGGTCAGTGTCATTGTAAAGAAAATGTTATCGGTGAACAGTGCGATCTTTGCCTAGAAAATCATTATGGATTTGATTCTTGCGAAGGTTGTAAGTCTTGCGATTGCAATATTGCTTCAGATAGCAAACAATGTAATGAAACAACTGGCCAGTGCCAATGCAAACCCGGTGTTACCGGACGGAGATGCGATCAATGCACTCCTGGTTATTGGAATTATGGTCCAGATGGTTGTACATGTGAGTATAAACAAGATAAATGATAAAACATATTATAAATCTTTAAGATAATTATAAATTCTGTTGAAAAAATATTGTTAAAAACAATACATTTACTTCTTTTACTTTTTCTTATAATTTCAGCATGTGGTTGCAATACTGGATATTCCGTTGGTGCATCCTGTAACACAACTACGGGACAGTGTTCTTGTCTTCCTGGTGTTATTGGTGAAAAGTGCGATCACTGTCCATATCGTCACGTTTTGATCCCAGGACAAGGTTGCTTTGCATGTGATTCTTGTACCGGTGATTTACTTGATGTTACTGATTTACTCTCAGATCTTCTAAATCCTGTATTTCATGAATACAATGTAAGTTTTATCTATGAAGATTATTATTTTCTATATACACATTTTTATGCTATACTTGTATGTATCTTGAAAATAATCGTTTTGTATAACATATCATTTTTACAGATGGTAGCTGAAAGTTATTTTACAAATCAGCGTTTAAAATTCATTAACGACACAGTCAATGACTTTTATTCAGAAGTTATGCTACTTGATCCAAAAAGAATTAATTTCTTACCGTTACAACAAAACTTATCGCGTCTTGGACAAGAAGTATCGAGCCAAAAACGTCGTTCCGATTATGTTGCTGAAGATAGTATCAAATGGAAACTCGGTGCTGAAAATACTTTAAATAATATGACTGTTTTAGAGGAAGATGTAATACGTGAGATAGCTTTAGTTAATTTAATAGTATCCGAAGTGCAATCATTGGCTACCAATATAGAGCTTAGACCAGGTGGTAAAATCGAAAATACGGTAAAAAAGGCAGAACAAATTCTGAACAAAATAAAAGAGGTATCTTTCGTTAATTTCCGCGATAACGCAATCGATCAAGCTAATCAAGCTAATATTCTCGTATCGGAAATGTTACAATATAATTCTCCAATAAATAATCTGACCTCAATGGCGTCAGATTTACAAGACAAGATTAAAAATATTAGTACCAAAATGGATGACTTGCTTGATATAACAAAAAAAACTGAAGCGTCAGTAGCCGATGTTGAAGATCTCAATAAAGATAATAGAATGGCTGCGGAATCTATCAACTTTGATACCGTTAAAAATATTTCGTCTGAGGCTAAAGAGGATCTAAACGCTGGCACGGAACTTAATAAAAATGCAACTCAACTGTTAAATGAAACTGATGCTAATATTAAGATTTTAGGTAAACTTCATTATTTCTATTTTATTGGAATTATTTTATTAATGTTTGTAAAATACTATATTGCTAATAGAATATATCATGAGAAAATGTATATTTCCACAGATTCTAATACATTGCAAGATATAGTCATGGATTTAAACAATACCATTTTGCAAAATGACGAAAAGCTTATTAATTTAGAAGGTCTTTTAAAAAAAGCAAATGATCATGCTGAATCTCTTTACAGTCATTCTTTAAAATTGGACAATCTATTGACAGATACACGTAATACAAATGCTGTACGTGCTGTTTCTGCATATAGGAATATTGAAAAGGCCATCCAAGAAGCTAATCATGCTGCTCTTAATGCTTCTTATGCTACTAATAATGCAACAGCATCAGTAAGTTACTGATACATTTATCATTTTAACATAATTTTATTTTAGAATCAATTTCAATTTAGAATCAGTTATTGTGATTTTCTAATTATGGTATAATCTTTTTTATTGCAACAGTTTTCCACGATAGAACAAGAAATAAAAAATTCTCTCGATCAATCTGCAAATTTGCTTGCCTCTGCAGAAATAGTATTGGAAGAAACTACAGGAAAATCTGAAGAAAATCTTCAGATTGCAAGGGCTGAAAAAGTATTTACGGATTCTCAAAATAAAAACAATCAAAGATTATTAGATTATATTGATAGGTAAGATATAAATATTATAATTGTCTTCTATTAATTACAAATAATAGATTATACAGGATGTTTGAGGATTTTTCGTACAAACATTGTGAGCGTATTCGAAAAAACCTCGACACCTTGTATACAGAATATTCGATAATTACGACATTATTATACCAGTGATTAACGGATCCTTTTCATAGAAAAAAAACAGTACTATGCCATGTATTATGTAATATCTTATCTAGGTAATATTAAGAAAAATTTAATTATGTCCTTATATCAAAGGTGATTTTAATTTTTAGCGCGCTTTCAAGTATTCCATCGCAATCATCATCGGTAGCACGTGATGCCGTCGGTGAAGCTACTAAAATAGAATACAATATAACAAATCTTATGCAAAACATAAATGGTACAATCGAAAGTATACCAAATGATCTCAAAAGAACTAAACAGCTTATAAGGGATATGTCCGAATCTATACGAGATATTTCACAGGCTAAGAAACAATTGGACGTTGTCAGTAAAATGGCACCTAATATTAACAATTTTCTTAGCGATTTGAGTAAAAACCAAAAAGCGATGGATGAAACAGGAAACGATCTTCAAAATAAAATGAATGCTTTAAAGAACAAGATAGCAAATGCTAGAGAATTAGCAGACAGATTTAAAACAGGTCTGACCTTCTACCGAAACACTACTTTGGAATTGAAAAATCCAGAAAGCTTACCCCTGTTAGCAACATCTAGTAAAATTTCATTATATTTCCGTACGAATAAAACTAATGGCTTCCTTTTATATCTTGGAAATGAAGAAAAAGTCAAATTACCACGTGCAAAAACAGTAAGTAATAATATATTATACAATGTTAATATAATAAATTTTTTTCTTATCCAAAATTTTCCTAATATTATTACTAAGTTTAATTCTTAGGGATGTTTTTTTTTGGACAGGTTTAAATTAAATGAACAATCTCTTTATCCGTTGAACGTTTCGTCCCTATATTTGGGACTTCCTCAGCAACTCGATAGTTATGTTCACTAGTCAATCTAACATCATTTCTCATTACAGTCATAAGTATTTACTATTTTATATACAGAGTCAATTTTAAACCGTTATCCTACCATAACTTTTCGAACACTACTATCGAACACTATACTTCGAAAAGTTATGGTTTAAAATTGACTCTATATATAAGATAGTAAATACTTATGACTGTAATGAAAAATGATGTGAGAGGTTGACTAGTGAACATAACTATCGAGTTGCTGAGGATGTCCCAAATATAGGGACGAAACGTTCAACGGATAAAGAGATTGTTCATTTAATTTAAACCTGTCCAAAAAAAAACATCCCTAAGAATTAAACTTAGTAATAATATTATACAATATTTTCATTTGAAAGTTATGGAACATTAGCAAAATTGAAGTGAATTATACAAAATTATACTTATTTGTCTTTATTACAGCATGACTTTATGGCACTTTTAATAGAAAGCGGATATCCAGTACTTATACTAGATCTTGGCTCTGGACCAATGAAAGTTATTAGTAATAAATTTGTATCCGATAATGTTTGGCGTCAGATAATTATTGATAGGTGAGTACATTTCTAATTAATGAATGTTGAACTGATAATAAATAGATCAATAGATTATTGTAAATAATCAAATAAATTATGTAAATAGAACTGGAAAAAATGTGAAATTAATAGTACGCGAGGATATTGGCGAGGGCAGAGAAAAAGAGTATGAAACGGAAAAAGTATTACCAGGAGCATATTCTATATTTAACGTCGATCAAGAACATTCAAAACTATTTGTTGGAGGATATCCTTCTTCTTTTAATATTCAAGATGCAGTAACAGCATCCTCTTTCGAGGGTGAAATGGAAGAATTAGTAATTGGCGATATGCCAGTTTCTTTCTGGAACTTTATGGATGGTGAAAATAATAGAGAAGGTGCTAACGAAAGAGACAAATTGATAAACTTCCAATCTAGTACAGGGTTTAGATTCGATAAGCATGGATATGCAATTTTAAGTAAACGAAATGCTCAAATATCACAGGATAGTAGAAAGTTTAGTATAAAATTAAAATTCAAAACATTCGCGGATAATGGCTTGATATATCTAATGGGCAAGGGTAAACAGTTCTTATCTTTGGAGATGAGAAATGGCCAGGTATGGTTATAAATATTTTTTTACATTATTATATAAACTACTTACATCATGTTTCAAAAATATAAATACCTCCCTTAAATCGTTTTTATAGATACTATATCAGTACGATCTTGACGACGGTGAAGTTTCTCTGACATTAACCAATAAACTTAATGATGGCGAGTGGCACAGTTTAGAAGCATTGAGATTTGAAAAGATTGGTGTTCTTAAAATTGATGGTTCAATGGTTTCACGAGGTGAAGCTAAGGGCAATACTAAAACTCTTCAATCCTTGGATTATATTTATTTCGGAGGATATCCACCTAATGCTAAGCATCCTTATAAACCAGTTACGAATAGTGGTTTCGAGGGATGCATCGATGATGTCGTTATTCTTGATACATCGGTTGATCTTAGTAGCAACATACAAGCCTTTGGAGTTATACCTGGTTGTCCAGCTCGGGTAAATTATCTATTTTATTTTTCCCCCCGAAATTGACCTTATTTTAATCGTTTCATCAACGCAGATAAAATTCATTTTTAATTTTAGTTCGCTAGTTTGGTATCTTTTGAAGAAAATATGCCAGGATATGTGAAATGGAATAACGTTTCGGTATCCAACTTCCTTCAAATTAATTTGAAATTCAAAACACTGGCAAATGATGGACTCATATTTTATGTCACCAATCCGGATCAAACATCTTCAAGTTACATGGAACTTGTCGACGGTGTATTAATATTTAAAAGTCAAGGGGAAGAATTGAGAACTGATCCAGCCGAAATCAAATTCAATGATAATGAGTGGCACGTTGTCACGGCAACACATAATGAATCATCTTTGAGACTTGATATTGATGACATTAAAAATTATAGCACCGATTCACCACCCCCGTCGCTTCATATTCTTTATGGAAATCTTTACATCGGTGGTATACCAGCATTGCTACAAACATCTCAAAACAATGCAAGAACACCGTTCGTCGGTTGTATCGGCGATGCTACTTTGAACGGGATTATTATTAATTTTGCTAACACAACTGAAAAACCTCATGTATTTTTGGGAAAGTGTAAAGGCGGTGAACAGTCACGTACGTTTAATCTTTTTAATAAATTCTTTATCTGCAGCTACAAAATAACAAACTATCAAGTAAACATTCTTTCGTATAGCCATTACCTCTATTGATGAGCCAGAAACAAATGGTTGGATACCGCTGTTACCTACAGAAAACCCCGATGACACTACTGAAGGCACAACACAAATTAGTTAGTAATTAAGTTAATCTCAAATGTATGTTTATTAGAAATAATTATATATATTTTATTTACTCCCAGATATAGTGGACATTGAATTAGAAAAGGAAGATGAGGATGAAGAACCTGGTTTGGAAGGACGTGTTCATCAGATGGAATTAACAACTGAAATAATTACAACAACCACTCCAAAACCAACTCTATCTCAAACTGTTGACCAATGTCATTTACCTTATTATCCAGCTACCGATCCTGACCTCGAAAATGCATGGAGATTCGGTATGCACATGTTTATACATCAAAACTATAATAACTAACTAATATTCATTAAAACTTTATTTCTATAGATTCTAATAGAGTTTTCTATTATTAATATTATTATTATATTCAGGTACTACAAACAACAGCCGATTGGAATATAGATCTATAAATGGAAGATATAGAGATTACTATGACTTCCAAATTAACATTAAAACAATGTCTGACAATGGAACTGTTTTCTTTGCCACAGATTTAAATAAACAAGATATGATCGCTTTATATGTTCTCGACGGAAAGGTAAGAGAAATTATGTATAACATTAAAAATACTATTTTGTTCTAATTCGAATGTAAATTGTCATAAAAATAATATCTGCTTTTTCAAGATTCATTACAAATTTGACTGTGGAAGTGGACCAGTTGTACTTATGAGCGATAAATTAATAAATGATAATCAATGGCATTATATTGTTTTTAAGAGGGATAAACAACTTGGACAACTTTCTGTAGATAATGAAACACCAGTAATCGGCTCTTCTCAAGGAAACACTGAAGCTATCAGTGTTAATCCACCATTTTTTGTAGGAGGTGTATCACCAGAATTGTTTAGCGTGACGCAGTCAAGAATAGTACGAGCTTACAAATTTATATACAGAATTGCATATCATGATAAATAAGTGTATATAGATTTAGCATACTAAAAAATTGAAGAATTTTCACATAAATTCTTTTACATTTTCATATACTAAATCAACTCCTTATTATACTTATATAATAAAATACAACTACTTTTTCAGGGCTTAAGCACAATGTTCAGCGGATGTTTAAGCAATTTTATGATGAACGGTCAACCTGTTGGTGAACCTGCAATTAAAGTTGGTGTAATACCATGTTCAACGCGAATAGAACCAGGGCTGTTCTTCTTCCCAGGAAACGGTAGTAATCTGTTCAAAGCAAGTAAGTGATATATACATGTAATTATACACACATACACACTCGTGTATTTCATTTATCAAAAATAATAATAACTCTTTCCAGTTGATCGATTTACTGTTGGGCGTAATATGGACATTCAAATGGACATAAAACCACGTATAACTTCGGGACATTTACTGTCAGTTCATGGTAAACGCGATTATCTAGTTTTGGAGATGATTAATGGTACTGTTAAATTTCTTGTTAAGACCACTAAAGGTTCTATAGAAACTTCGTTTGAACCATCCAAACCTAATTCCTTATGTGATGGTAATTGGCATAATATTCGAGGTAATATAGATTTTTTATATCTGATATATGTAGATTTATCTATTACCTAGATACTTATCTTCCATTTTTCTCGCAATAGCTGTAAAACAGAAAAATGCTGTACTTTTATCCGTTGATCACAAAGCTGCTCCAATAGGAATTGGTGGTAAAAATGTAGCAGCAGTATTGTCAAAGCATCCAATATTCATTGGAGGTCATCCTATGCTGGGTAGAAGATTACGTGGCAGCACATCACAGTCTCAATATGTTGGTTGCATAAACAATGTATACATTAATATGAAATCCATTCATTTGGGTCCGGAACGAGCTTATGGACGAGTTATTGCGGGTGTTTGTCCAACAATATAAGTGAGTAATATTATTTGAAGTTGGAAGTGTACGAAGTACAATTAAATCTTTATGTGGTGAATGCGTCAACTAGAGTGTACAATGCTAATAACACTCTAACACTCTTTTTAAGCGCAGAAAATATTGTGTCACAGGCATAGTAATAAAATAATTACAAAATACTCCTTAAGAACCTCACGCCTAGTCTAAAGAGTAATGGGCAAAAGACTGAGTTTTGCATTTCCTTTACATTCAGTAGGAAGCATTTCATATTGCCAATACAAGTAATAACGATTATAGAATATTTTGTATTGTACGTAGTAGAAATTTATACTTGGCACAATTAAGTTCTTAAAATATTTTCAATAATTTTGATTTAATTGTATTGCATAGCCAAAGAGAATTTATTAATAAAAAAAAAATGTAAAATATAAATTACTATACATTCATTAAAAAATATCGTTTGTTTATATTTTATTCATAAGATGAATCACACAAAATGAACTAAATTTTGATTTTATGTACGTACGAGAATCTTATTGGTTTGTATATTTTTTATTAAATATGATAAAATATATTATTTGGAAATGTTTAAATGTAATAAAATTTAGAGAATGAAAGATTAATATGATGTATAAAAAATGGATATATATATATTTTTTTGTTTTCATGTTTTTAATTGAGAAAAAAATTATAACATACGCCAGCTTTAGGAAAAAATTTGTGTAATTCATCTTTCAAAATACTATTCCTCTGATTTTCACAGCACAGATAATTCTATCGTATATTCTTTTACAAGACAAACTTATTTAAATATATATTTTATCTACCTTGTTAGAGTTTCGTAAATATCATAAATGAAACATTTCTAAATTATAAACAATTCATTTTAATAAGTAAAATGTTTTAAACATGGCTCTTTGATGGAATAAAAATTATTGTATATATACACATGAGAAATTACATATAACATTAATATACAACACTTTGTACAGAAATTATATTTATATATAAGTCTTTAAATATATGCTATGCTTGTCTTTCTTCTTTTTTCTTTCTTTCTTGTAAATTCTTTTAAATACTATTTCGAAGACCACGTAATTTGCTTAACAAATAAAATTATTGCTGCTATATTAATGGCACACACACTCTTCTGGTATTTTTATAAATTAATGAATTTAATAAATATCGATATATATATTATTTTTATAATCACATGTTTTTTCGTATATTATGGGAATTTGAATGGACAGCAGTTACACGTATCTTTATCTTATTTCAATCCTGATTATTTGTAAGAAGACAATTGTTACATATAACCATAAGTATATTAAAATGCAAATGGGGAATGTTTGTGTTATTCTTATTACATCGTCAATAATATTAATCCAATAAAGATCTTTTTAAACGGCATCAAACTCATATAATAACATTTTCTTGGCCATAAGATTACAAGTACTTACTTCCTACTAAATATGTATATTACCAAATTGTAAGATTATCTGACTCTTACTTTGATCCCTCTTAGATTAAATAATAGCTGCTATGATATTACTATTTAGATATAATTTCCTTATGTTTTTTTTATTAGGTTGTAAAATAATTAAGTTCGGTTACATTCGCCTCATATTTATACTTCCAACTATCATTATTACTCTCCCTTTTACGAGTTTAAGGAACCTTAATAACACCTTTCACACTTCCGATGTCTTTCTATGGAGTCAACAGTACATGGTGTTTCCAAGTGATTACCCATCAAGTACTAACCGTGCCTTATCGTTGCTTAACTTTAGTGATCTAACGGGAACTAGTTTTTCAACGAGGCAAGGCAGTTGACTACTTATAATTGAACTTATTATAGTAAAATTCAATATTAATGCAAATTATTAAATTCCAAAATATTTCTTAATACAAATATCAGATAACAATGAAAAATATACGCATAAAAGAAACCAAAACAAACAAAGAAAAAACAAAATATATAAATTAATACAACGCGATATTGCGATAACTTATGCAAACCACAACGTATGTTTCAATGTATCTATCTTAAATATTAAATTGGTCATAGCCAATATATTGTAGCTGATATAAATATATTAGATTGTTATTGAAGATCCATTCCAAAAAGTGTAATTTCATTTTCATTTTATTTCAAGTTCATTATTTGTTAATGCAAAACGTTTTTATCGAGTCTAAATTAGATGCGATTGCGTCTTAATTATTTAATTTCACTTCCAAAAAATTTGCATCTTTTTCTCATCCTTAAACCCGTTACGTTTTCATTTTATTATCTTTCAAACGAGAAGACGTAGAGTAGACTCTTTTAAACGTATCTCCTATATTTTTTTTTGGAAATAAAGTTTCTATAATTCCTTCGAGTAATACGTATAATAATCTTCTATTTAATACAGGTTGTTGAAATAATTCAAACACTCTTAGAAGCCCATGTCTTGTTGTCTCGCTACCTATGATATGCTTCAAATCATCTGAAAAACAAGAGAGCAATGCTACTTTGGCTACCACTCGAGTTCTATTTCTTGTTTCCGAATCTCGATTAGGTTTATTTTCAGCTTTAATACCATTCGGCCATAAACTATTCCTGAAAATTTATACACATTAGTATAACTGGGGAAATATAGTGTTAAACAATTTAATTAATTAATATTTTAAATATTTACTTAATAAATCGTAAATATCCAGCTACTTTTGTGGGACTAGTCATGAGTGAAACATATTCTATTATTCTTCTATTCACAATATCACCAAACATCGTACGAATAATTTGTCTTAATAAAGTTATGATTCTTCTTCTTAACCACTGATTTCTTACTTTTAAATCGAAAATTTCATCCATTAATAATAACATTATCCTCAATGGAATATTATCGTTAGTCTGAAAGCAGAAAAGAAGATAATTAATTATATTACATAGTAAAGATAAATGATTACAGAATGAATAAAAAAAAACATCTTTACTTCTACGTCCAAGCTAGCACCAACTTTAGCGTGTTCATAAAATACATTCGTTTTTTTTGGATTGCCAAAAAATTTACTTATATTATCCATAACACCATCTACCGTACTTAACATATTATCTGGCATAGTCTTGACTGCTTGCGTCACGCTTTTCATGGATGTTTTTAAAGGATTCATTAAATTATCTAACTGTAAGAAAAGTACAATTAAATATTTAGATATATAATCTAATATATATGTTTGTAATAAAAATTATCTCATGGGAAATTTACCGTTCGTGAGATTTGACCTCCAGTAACACCTTTGTCGTAATCTCCTTGTTCTAAAAATGCTAATAAGAGATTTTGTAAGCCCATGTGACCATCGACAACTGTTGGCTTCGTTAGTTGATGCAACCAAGCATTCAACATTACCATTCTCTTTTCTAACACAGTTCTTTCCATATTATGAAAGGCTTTCTTGGCAGGAAATGGAATTTTGGCCAAGTCATAATACTTTTCTTTTATTTTTTGATATAGGTCATAGAAATCAGAATATCTTCTATAAATGTGCCATTTCTCTTGATAACCCGAATCGTAACATTTGGTAACAGCGACGGCATATATGCCATACGTTTTCCCACGATCATTAACAATACCGGTTTCAATTATTTTGGCAGTAATTTCAAAGCGACCTTGCTGTAGCTTTTTAATAACAGTTAAATCACAATTATTTTCATCCAACATAATACTTTGATCTGAGTTTGAATCTAAATAAAAAGCTGCATCTTTTCCTTCGTTAATTTGATCCAAATCTATGCTCGGTTCCTTCTGAATATTTTTCATATCTTTCGTATTACTCAAAGATTTTTTTTCTATATTACTGCACGACTTCAATTCGCTCGACTCAACAGTACCTGCCAAATTTAACGAAGAATTTGACTTAAATTTGTTTTCTTTTCTTGCTGTTATATTCGTTTCATTGTTATCATAGTTTTCCGTTAAATTTGCCAACGTGCTTAATTCATCATTGACGCTAGTTATATTTATACTTTTTAAAGATTTAGGATCATCCTCGGAGGTTGGATCTTTCAGCAAATCTAATTCAGCAAGAAGCTTGACATAGGCAAGTGATTTTTTAAAACTAGGTAGAAACCTTTCCTCGTTTTGTAATTTTTCGTAACAACAAACTAAAAGATCATCAAACCAGACTTCCTTAACAGTTTCAGTTTTTATTTTAATTACTAAATTTTTTACTAATACATCATCCAACTGTAACTTAGATGACGCTTTATCGCTTAAATACTGTTGATGAATTTTTAAAGCAGCCTCTTTTAAATTTTCTAGATCTACATTTTTACGTTTTGTAGTGGCAATATTTGAGGTCGAAGGACCAGATTGTAGTTTTTGTAAGTGAATATCTGCTATTTGTTGCTCCGCTGATACTCTCCAACCATATATATTTAAATAAAAGTACAAATATGCCTCGGCATTTATAGAAGTCATATAATCAATAAAATAACTAAGTGCAATATTATTCTTTAACAATTCATCTAATGGCAAATTAACTAATTTTTGACCAGGAACAATTAATCTATTCCATTCTGGTTGAGTACCAATTCCATCTCCTTCTGATTCTAAACCTTCTTGCATTCCAACAATCCTTGCCTCCAAAATTTTTTTAAAATAAAGTAAACTACTTAATCGTTGCTTAGCTGACAAATCATCATCCCCGGTTAAATCTTTTGAACGCAGGTGTGCTATTTCCTTAGAAATAATATTTTTAGTTGCTACTAATTCTTCCAAATTATCAGTCATTCTAATTACCGTTAAAAAGATATCACTTGGCAATCCACTTTCTTTACTGCACTGAAATTATAATTTAAGACTCATAAGATATTAAAATAATATATACGTTGTTATAATAAATTTGTAATTTCAAGCTTACCAGCCATATAAATGCCTGATTAATGTAATCAGGATCGGAGAATAGATTCAACAATGGTCTAATTATGGCATTCGCTAATAATTCTTTTAAAAAATATCTTACAGTTAAACAATCGTAATCTTCCTGTGGCAATATTAAATATAAGAGATCTTCTGATATTTCGCATAATAATTCTTTCTCTTGAGATTTGTTTGTGCATACAATATCTCTGCATATCAAATTATTTTCCATTTGCACTTCAAGGTCGAAGAATATTTTCTCTAAAGATTCCTCCTCGCCTTGATCTCCGAGTTCGATAGGTTCAATGAGAGATGATAAGTTAGGAATGTAAAATTTAGACTGTGTGTTCCAAGATATATCTGTTTCACTTTTGTTCCGCCTATGTGTGGGCACTTTTTTGGGCGTTCCACCTGAAGTACTAGAGCTAGCGCTACCTTTATATAATTTTTGCGCTCTAAGTTCTTTAATCCTTACTCGAGCTTGACGATACAGTCTCATATGCGAAGCAGCATCATCAACAAGACGCGTAGTTAAATATGGTATCCAGTCAACGGCTTTTATCCTATTTTAAAAAAAAATATGCTGAATAATGCAAAGACTAATCAAAATTAATCAACGACTATCCAATTTAACCTTTTTTATTTTTTGTATTTGCTGCCTTAATATTTTACACACCGATTTGCTATATTGATGGCAATTTTTTGAGCATTATTGCGAACTGAATAGAGAAATTCTTTATCGTCTGTAATAGAGCCGTACCAACTTTGCACATAATCTCTGATGATAAAATCTAAAATTTCCTAACAGAAAATAATAATATATACATTAAGGTACTATTTAATTTGACATAAACTATTAACACGTTCTCTGTCAAGTGCAAGTCACATTTCTGGTATATGCTGAAATTCATTTCTATGACTAAATAATATGATATAATTTATATTAAAGTTTACGGTATGTATTATTTTCAATATATACATAGTGTAGAAATGACACTTGATTGATAGCAACTTGGCAAGTAACGTGTTAAATGAAAAAATTATTAATAATTATTGTATATATATATGTACTTGCAAAGATTCATCAATAATACGGCTGCCAGTTATTCTTCTATCTAATGTAAAAGTAATCTTTTCCTTGGATAAATTAAAAATATACTGTAAATACAAAACAAAAGTGATACAAATTAAAATAGAAAAGAAATATAAAAAGAAATAATTTTATAATATTAATATATACCTGCCGAAATTGATCAGTCTTTTTGATTATATCCTCTCGCTCTGATATTAGAGAATTATTATCGCTAAGAGTAGATATTCTATTTACACAAATCATTATTCTAAAATAAACAACATAGAATTACAATGTTTAAAGTAAGTATATTATTCTACACTTATTCTATATTTATTAACCCTTTGAGTGCTAAATACTCTTAGGCAAAGCACTTTGCTGGGATGGAATACCTTTTGGGTAGCGTATGCTCTGTCAATTGATTATAGTAACTGCAACTAAGTTATCATTGTTAATCTTCCAAATGAAATAATACGAGAAAGTTATTTTTGAGCATAATCTAGGTGCGACAAGACTAGAAACAATTATCTATGCCTACAAATTGTTGTATTCTCTGCATTCATATCAATAAACGCATATATGCACTTGTAACACTCAAAGGATTAATATCATTTAAAAAGAAATATAAATATATAAATATATATTTACCCTAGGATTAAAACAAGCAAACAAATAAAAATTTTAACTATCACGCCTAAACCAAAAATGGCAATTAAAAGTATTGTAATAGCTCCAACTATTCCATACAGCCGAATATTCATCTGCAAAAGTGAGATAAATAAAATTGTTGAAATATTACTCATTTAAAACTTATATAAGTAATTGTAAAGTGTTTAATTTTTGTATTTACTTTAGACATAAGAAAAATATATATTCAAAGAATCAAATCGATGGATTTACTGGACGATATCTTGAAAAATGTGTTGGGTCATATGTAGAGATAAGTAAAAGCAAACATTAAGTATTGGAAATTTCCTATAATACTACTATTATTATTGTTTAATAATTACATTTAAATAACTATCCTCTGAGAATTGATAATTCGTTGGAAATCATTGAAATAATTACTAAAATAATTATTAAGATATAAACAGTCCTTAAATAATAATTAGCTGAGACACAAGATGACGAAATAATTAAAACAAAAATAGCATATAAATACGACTGTAAAGTTCTCATTAGCGACATAAATCACCTGTCATATAGATGATAATGTTTAAATAAGAAAAAAAAAAACTTTACGCACACGAATAAAGTCACATATCGCTACGAGTAATAAACATCTATCTTACAAAATAAACAATGGGAACGTTCGATAGTGTAACCATCAAAGTAATATGGAGTAGTAAAACGTCATTTTGAAAGTGTACCGTACACGTCGCGTAGAAATGACTATAGATATATATAACGTTTTAGATACAATATTTAAAATTATATTTATATGTAAACGTAAATTGTCTACTCCTTTGAATGATAGGAGCTAAATTTCTTTCTTTTATTTTTCGAATTATTTATAATTAACGTACCTTAGAAGACTCCGATAAATTCCTCTTAGTGTATTTACGTACATATTGCATATCTTCTACGGATCATTGTACAAATTAGTCACCTATATAGCAATTTGTTTACATCTTTATAAAAGATTATTAATCCATAATACGATACGTTTAACATGTCTTCTAACTCGAAAGAAAAAAAACAGGGCGGTCGAGAGCGCCGCTACACAACATAATAATATTATGATACGATACGATACCGAACGATTCTAGATTTCGACTGTTAAAACAGTCTCGGGACATGCGCGCAAACGATAAACGTAGTTAATTATTTACTACATCTTCTTCTTATTTTTTCTTCTTCGTTTCTTTTTTTACTTTTGAACGCTGAACACGTTTCCCGCACTGAAATAATAAACCGTTATTGTAATTGTTCACAGACCCATCTTTTATTTATGCTCATTTTTGTTTCCATCGAATTTTGATGAAAATTCTTTCTTCGGTTTCTCTTATTACCTCTTATTCGGTTTACTTATTACGAGTACATAGACCAACGATTTTTATTTTCTTCTTTTACTTTTTTTTTTTAGATTGTCGATAGATAACTATATTCATAAAGAATTTAATTGAATCAAATTAAAATATAATTAAAAAAAGTAAATATAATCTAATGGAATTTATGTTGTTGGTATTATTTGCATTAGTTTTGAAAAAATTTATTTGGCTACCATGACAGAACACCTGCTGTCAGTGGAAGTTAGTTGGTAGATTATTTTAAAATATAATAACAAAAAAATGTGATACCTATATTACAAGTAAAATTAAATCACCTTTGTTAAAATTATCTTCAAATGATAATACAATTTCTCACGTTTTTTAATTTTTGTCATACCAATCTTAGAAATAGTACTTAGTGCATAGGGAATTTGGTGTTAACGCTAAATCTGTTTATTAACTAGGCTTTACTCTTGGTCGTTTAATTTTTAGAATTTTTACAGCTAAACTTGTAATTGTACGTCATAGATGTTAACAAACCTGGTATATTTTTCGACAATATTATATTAAACGGTATAATAAAATAAACAAGTTTAAAATTTTTACTGACAATAAATGCTTGTATAGCTACCAATATAAAGTCATCATCGTTATTAATCTTTTTAATCGTGGGCTCGTTTTATTCGTAATGCGGACGCATCCTAAGAATTAGATGTTTCCTGAACAGAACAATCTGAAAAGGAAAAGGGAGGTCCCTTAGGATCGGCATGATGTTTAACATATTAACATTAAAATTAGATTCCATGCGATAATAACATAGTCTGCAAGCATGGAACTCGAATTGTTTTTGCCTTATCTTAATTTTTATCTCAGGGAAATTAAGTTGGCAATAGTGTCCTGTCAAGCATAGGGATGTCCCTGAATTTTCGGAGTAATTCCCTTATTTATCAGTAATTTCCACAATTTAAATAACCTAGATGATTGAATTTGCAATATGTGTATTATATAAATATTAATTAACATTACTATTATTAACTGGTTGTAATACGTAGTAAAAAAATAATTACATTATAAATCATTTCAAATAAGTACATAGTAGCTTATTGGTAATATTATTTATAGGTTAATTCGAAATTAATTATATATAAGTGGCTGAAAAGGAAAGATGTAAAAGTAATATTTTTGTTCATAATTTGGGACTTTCCCTTTCCTTTCGAGGCACTTATATGTATTATATTTTTAATATATTAATGAATGATATAATGAATATTATTTTACAGGTATAAAGAGACATATAAGAACAAAATTAAATACATTGGAATTTTTACTATTGAAAAGTTATATAATATGGATATACCAAGAACGGAATATATAAGAGAATTTCCATTACGGCAACAGTATCCTAGTATTAAACCGGCAAACAAAAATCGACCGACAAACAAAAATTTATCCGAAATAAAAGTAGGAACAAATTTATACTTGCAATCATTGGTATCGACAAAAATAAAATCTTCGCCAAAAATTAATCTAAACATGAAAGTTGAATTTCAAAAGTTACGATTAAAATCACAAAGTGGTAAAGATTTGGGGGAGTTTAATGCGCAAGTATTGCCTTTAAATAACATAAAAAGTAAATCGCTTCTAAAACAGAATATATTTAAAAACTTTAATAGATCTGTATTATTATCAAATCTAATGTCACAAGATAATTCCAAAAAATTGGTAACTCTAATACCTGTTCAATCAATGAAAGTTAAAAAAGATGATGGCAATGTTGACAACAAAATACATAAACCTAAAACCATTCTTTTAAAAAGAATTACCACTAACGACCAATTTCATAAAGAAAAACAGGAGGATGCGAATACTATTGTAACAGATAATTGTATAAATAATGAATGTAATAAAAAGGGAGAATCTGAATACAATCAAATTCAAAGTATATTGGTCAACAATGAAAATAACTTAAAAAAGAAAGAAAACAAGTATTGTACTGTAACATTATTCGAACAAATAGATCAATTAGAAAATAAAAATTCATTAGATGAATTAGAATATAAAAATTCATTAGATGAATTATCCAAATCTACACAAATTTTAAAATCTAGAAATGTTATAGATTCTACAAGTTTTTTAACTACAATTCCAAATAAATTAGTAAGTATATCTAGTGATGCAAATAAAATAATAGACAAAGGTCCTGATTTAGATGATCAGAAGTCTGGTAATGGGGAAATAATTAATAATAAAAAAAAAACATTGTTTTTATTACCTATAAATAATGAAGATAATACAGATGTATCTTCCAAACAAAAGCTGCCTAGATTGTTGAAGAAAGGCGACGATTTCACATTTTCCTCAACATTTGCAGATATTCTGCAAGATGAAAGAAATAATAAAAATATTTCTGAATATAAAAAGATTTTAGATCAAAACATGGAGACAGATAATATAGGATCACTGAATGGCTATTTTACAAAAATATACGATGATTCTTTAGTTTCTATAAACAATTGTAAAGGTAATATTGCTGTAATCACTAAAGCGAGCGATCATGAAAATTTTACATCTCAAAATATCAATGATGATTTATCAACAAATATGTTAGACAACGATTTACCATTTCCATACGAATTGTCTTCTAGTTGGAGTATTCTTAATGAAATAGTGAATTATATAAAAGAAGAAACAAGTAAAGATAAAGTGACAAAAGCCATGAAAACCCTTTATAATTATATTACAAAGAAGCAATCGATTCCATTACATTTTTCAACAGAATTTAAATCGTTGAATGGTGCCAAATCACAAAAAGATATACTGGAGTCTAAAAATTTGCCTCTTACGGATGAAAATATATCTGATATTTTAAAAATAAAATTAAAAGAAGTATATACAACTAATACAAATGAAAATTGTAATCAACGAAACAATATCTACAATGATTTTCCTATGTCACTTTTGAATGAACCGCAAAAATCTAATGAATATCTAGAACAATTTACTAAAGATATATGTACTAAAAATAGTGGGGCTAATAAAGTTCAACAAATTCTATCGCAAAGAAGTACATTTCATAACAAGATTTTTGAACAATTAAAAAAAGATTTTGAAACTGTGACAAAAATGGATGAAACCGGAATGTTGAATATACATAAAGCTGTTATCCATAATAGAATTTATGACGTTCAAAGATATCTTATGGTACTCAAAGCTTGTAGCATCGATGTAGACATACCAACGGAATTCGAAATGGTACATTTTTTACAATTATTCTTATAGCAATAAAAGATTTATAGTTAAACACAAATTAATTATTTAATCTTTGTACATTTGTATTTGTAGACAAGTTTGGAATTGGCAGTTAAGCATAATGTGTCAACTGAAATTGTTAAGTTATTATTAGAATACGGCGCAAATCCAGTGTCATCTAAACAAATACACGAATCAGCTTTAATAATTGCCAGTAAAAAGAATTACATATTATTACCAGAACTTATAAAACATGTTACATCCGTTGAATTGCTAAATAACGTAGATTGTATGGGTAAGTAATTAATATTATACAAAATTTTTTTTAGAAAATGTACTGTTTTCTTGATACATTTATTTAAATATGTCTGTATAAATGCGTATTATATATTTGATTATTATTTAGGTTTCGCCCCATTACACTACTGTGCTCAAAATGGAAACATAAAAGGAATTGCCTCATTAATAAATATGGGCGCTGATGTGAATCTGAGAGAAAATAGATTTGGCAGAACTGCGCTTTTTTTTGCTATGGAAAATAACCATCCTTTAATAGCAAAAAAACTTATTGAAAATGGAGCCAATATAAATATTCCAAATTTTTCTGGACATACATTACCATTAAGAGATTAAATTAATCTAGAAGCAATCTATATTTCTCACAATTGTATATATAAACATATTTAAATAGATATACAGTAAATATTTATACGTCTATAAATTTAATATAACAAGATAATAACAGGTGTGAACTATTGACTGTGTGACGTTCCGCCACAAAATTCCATACCGGATTTATTTTTATTTTTTCTCGTCTAATCTTTTTTTCAATATTCTTTTACGAAGCATTAACGTGGCATAACGGACACCTCTTTCTCCATTCGATCTCAACGGTCGCTGACGCTCAAATCAAAACGCAACATAAGCATAATACAAGATGGGTGGACTGAGCTCTCTTTCGCTTGGGAATGAGAAGGGCGGGTAAGTGAAAAACCATAGTTAAGTATATCAACAAAAATAACTCATAGCAAAGTAACCGATACCCGGAAACGAAGACGTCGAGAAACTTAACACATTAAGCGCCGGCTCAGTGAAAATGTGGGTTTTTAAGTTTATCACTTGAGTATCGGCTCCAAATTAATGCGAGTTTCTGAGTCTATCGCTCGAGCGCCGGCCCCGAAATGTTGCGGAATTTTTTTTCTTGTACGAGTGTCTTACACGTTGATTTGCATTTTTATACTCCAAAAACAAAACGTATACGATGGTTCGGAAGTAATAAAATATTTTCTTTAGCTACTCGTTGTTTAGAAACACGCAAATAAGGTCGGCGTTTGGGCTTTAGATGTCTTATATGTCGCCGGCGCTTAATGTGTTAAGAATTCCTGTGAAAACCATAGGCACCAGAACGTCGCCAAAAGAAATTCGAATCTACCTTAGCCGTTGTTACCATGAGCGAACCGAATCAGACTCCCGCCAATGCGACGTTGACAGATACCTGATTAGCACATAGGCATACTTATGATAATAATGTTAACACGGTGAAATAATTGTGTATGACGAAAGAGCAATAGGTATGAAATAGGGAGCACGTTACGCCTTGCGATGTGTTTGTAGAGGAGGCGTGGACTGACTGACACCAAGAAATGGGACCTAAGTCACCCCTACCAGAGTGATCATTGGCCCATACAAGGAAATCGACATCAGACCGCGAGGCATTGCATTAAAAATCACACCTACATCAATTAGTCGTTATTACCATTATTATATTCGTTATTACCGCCGTCATTAACATTACTTCAAGTTCAACGATTCTCAATTCACGCATGACCTACGAAATTATCTCCATAATCAGTCAGCCCACGCTTCCGCTACTGACGACCATCCTAATTCGGAGCTCCTCGAAAAGAGCGTAAGCGACCGTCCGTGCCAAAAAGACTTACCTGTTCTAATTTCTATAAGTAAAATATCTTTGAGAAACAGAGCTCCGGTGAACAATTTTCACTAATCAACTATATTCCTCGAATCATTCTCCACTCCTACCTTCCAGATACTCGAACTCCTCATAACCCATTCGTAATTTGCCATTCTTTGTCGTTATTTATTTTCTGTTTTGTTCATTTATATATTGTATTACACTGTAATTAATGGCCTTTAGGGAACTTTGGCTCTAGGGTCAATAAAATATAATTAAATAAAAAAAATAAAATAAAAATTTAACCTTCGGTCCTAGCTAAACTCGGTGAATGCAAAATGGCTAAAACAGGCCTAGCAACGATTTCTAAAAACTCTCGTCTTTGGGACGTAACAACCGGATAATACTTACGTCTGAATAATGTCTGAAGCTAATAATAGTTCTGTGCATTATAAAATCAATTCTTTGTTCATAATATGCATATCATATAAAATTATGAATCTCCACACAACAACGAGAAGATTCCTGATATCTAAATTTGAAAATATATTAAACAGTAAAGACTTAAACACTCAGAATTAAATCAATTGACCTCAACTATATCAATGTGATTTTAACAGTGAGATTTCGTTTATCATAAAATGGAAAATTTTAGATGGCCATTATTCAAAAGATTAAACGTTTCAGTTAAAAATATTGCTTAAGTCCAATTAGGAATATCGTATAGGAACAAGAAATGATCAAAAGTAAAATGAATAATTTGATATAATAGAACAATTTTAATAAATGTTCATTGAAGTGATAATGAAATTTACTTTGATGATAATAATTAAAAATAGTATGTAACAAAATAAGAATATATTATGTACCTACTGTTAGTATATTTAACATATACTCTATTTTAAAAAGAGAAACCCAAACTATATTCTAACGATTGAAATACAACAATACGACTAAGTATTACTATTAACACAGACACCTCTATTTGTAATAAACAAATTTACTGATATTTCATATCAATGATAGTTCATATCAATATTATATACAATAAGGCAACATTTGTTTTGTAAGAACCTATTTATTTTTTTTTGAATGCTTAACAACCACTAATATGTTAATCACAGTATACTTGTATTCAGTTAAATCGCGCTTGGTAATAAACATCATGTAACTTTGATAACTTTTGTTATCTTCTAAGACCGCGATATGTTAAGTTTACTTAATAAGTTGATCAACATTTATCTCTAATATTATTTTTTTTTTTTATATAGCAATCATGCTCCCTCCATTAAATCAAGACTCTTCAGCATTTCTGTGCTATCATTAAATTGTACGTTACGATACTATCTCGTCTCGTCTATAAATATAAGATTGTTATGAATATCATTCATTTGAATTAAAACGTTTGAAAATACAGGAAGAGTAAGAAGCATATTCGAGTTGGAAATAATTAAATAACAATAGTGGGAACAGCTTTTTTGTCTATGACATGAAGCTTGCACATTTCTATTCTAAGATTTAATTTATCATCACTTAAGTTACAATATGAAGATACACTACATCGTCAGTAAGATTTAAATTACATGATTGCTCAAAATTAATCAGTGCGAGCACTTATACAGTTTACTGCGAATTCTTTGCTTAGCTGGTTTAAATTGTCCTAAAGAATAATCATCAGTAATAATAGTGGAAAATTTACCTGCCAACAACAAAAATATACAAAAACATTAAAATGATTTCATCGAAGTTATTGATTATTTTAACAATTTTGGGATTAACAAGTGTCGCTTATACAGAAGAAACTGCACCCAGAATAAAAACGCCTCTAGGAGGCATCCAAGGGTATTATAAAATATCTGCAGATGGTAGACCTTACGAAGCTTATGAAGGAATTCCTTATGCTATACCTCCTACAGGAAAATTAAGATTTAAGGTATAGATATAACATTTCTTTTTTTAAATATATCTCTCTTATTTTATAAGAAAAATCCTTTTACTATTTATAATCGCATTTCAAATAGTTAAGAATTTTCTAATTTTTTAAGTGCAGTTTTAACATGAAAGTATCCTATAATATAATTATTAACAGTTATTTAACATTCATTTAGCGTCTAAGGTATTTATGATTTTGATTCGATTGAACCATTTTTTAAATTTTAATTTATAGCCTCCACAAAAAATCCCAGCATGGCCTGGTGAACTTATGGCAACTAAATTTGGTTCTCTGTGTTTACAATACGAGCAAATAGTTGAAAAATCACGAGACAGAGTTCAAGGCTCGGAAGATTGTCTATATTTAAATGTTTATGTTCCTAAGCGTGAATCTAGATTATCACTTTTACCGGTTATTTTCTGGATTCATGGTGGAGGTTTCCAATATGGTACTGGAATGCGTCTCGGAGCTAAATATTTAATGGATCGAGATGTTATATTTGTCACAATAAATTATCGTTTAGGCCCATTAGGTATATTCGATAAAAAATTCAATATCTCCAAAGATTAATTATTATTTGATTCTAGTAAATGTTCCTATATAATAAATATTCTCTGCAGGTTTTCTAAGCACAGAAGATGACGTTTTACCAGGTAATATGGGACTCAAAGATCAAAGTATGGCACTGAGATGGGTTTCTGAAAACATTGAATGGTTTGGGGGTAATCCTAAGAAAATAACATTGGCTGGTCTAAGTGCTGGTGGTGCTAGTGTACATTATCATTATTTATCTCGTTTAAGTTCTGATCTTTTCCAAGGTACTTATAAAAAAAAATATTTTTCGTCTACTCCACCACACACATCTTTACATATTATGAATTTATTTTGTCTAATGAAAATCTTTTTAATACGCAGGAGGCATATCTATCAGTGGTACGGCATTTGATTGTTGGACACAAACTGAAAATGCTTTGGAGAAAGCTAAAAAATTAGGTGCTTTAATGGGTTGCCCTACAAGTAATACTCGAGATATGGTAAATTGTTTGAGGTATCGACCAGCTCGGAATCTGGTCGCAGCAACCAAAGAGTTCCAAGTAAATATCCATTTGTTTTTTAATAAATAATAAAATTAGATAATATTACTTTTAACTGATGTAACTTTTTCTCAATAGCCGTGGTTATACAATCCTTTCACACCATTTGGCCCTGTCGTTGAAAAACACGAAGATGCTCCTTTCATAAACCAATCACCAGCAGATATTATTAATAGTGGTAACGTTCAAGATATTCCATGGATTACAAGTTCCACCAGCGAAGAAGGACTATTTCCTGTGGCTGGTAACTTTTGAAATATGAACATTTGAAAATGATTTATCCTACAAAATTTTTTATAAATAAGATTATCAATTGTTTCATATATACAGAATTTATAACCGACGATAGATACCTCAAAGAACTCGATGAGAATTGGAATACTATTATACCTCATTTCCTGGATTATAATAATACTATTCCAAGGGAAAAACATGTAGAAACAGCTAAACTTATCAGAAAGCATTACTTTGGTTCTAAAAAAATTAATAAAAAGACCATTGCACCTCTAGTACAAATGGTTGGAGATAGATTTTTTGTGGTTGATAGTGAAAAAGCTGCAAGATTACAGGCAAAAGTAAATCAACAACCTGTTTGGTATTATCGCTATTCATATAGATCTACATATAGTTTAAGCGAAGTTATGAGCGGAAGCAAGGAAAATTTTGGTAAGAAAAATAAAAAGTTAATTTCTATAGTAAAATTTTAAGTGCAATATGAATATTTCGTAAATAATTTTTATAGGCGTTAGTCATGCCGATGATGCATATCTTGTTTTGGATACTCCATATTTTGGTCCAGTAACAAGAAGTGACGATATTCAAATGCAACAAGATCTAATTGAACTTTGGATTTCATTTGTCAATAACAAGTGAGTTATATTTTTATCTACAAAAATATATTATTTTCATGAGCAAAGATAAATATAAAAGATACTCTAAGATATCATAATCAACAAAATTACTATCAAACGAGTCAAAGATAACGATTTGATTATTTACTCTAGAAACAATTGAAATCCTCTTTTCTCCACTCATTGAATTTAATATAAAATATTTTCAGCATTCCCCGTATTGGTACAAGCAAATGGACCAAAGTAGACCCATCTCAAAACGAATTCAGTTTCCTTCACATTGAAGGACCTGGCAAGTATTCTATGAGTAAAAACGACAATTTAGGACATAAAAACTTTTGGAACAGTATCGACTTTAAGGAAAATACGTTGCAATCTACGAAACACGTAAAAGAAGATCTTTGAACAGAAAATATTTTATCTAATACAGAGATGGGCGTACTTCTTATTTTTTGTTGTTATTTGTATACATATATATTTCTTCGTTTTTTATATTTGTTTAAATTCATTTTAGAAGTAGATTAGAAAATTCAAATATGTATGCTTGGTTTAATATCTTTAGATTTTATTATTATATATATTAAATTAGTAATAAAAAAATTATTATATTAATTAATTTCAATAATTATAACCATATCTACTTTTTATTTATTAAGAGACATAGCAATATGTCATGATTATGGAATAAAAAGATAAAAGATATTATCGGAGTAAAAAGTTTTCAAGAAGAACTGAAAAAGATAACGAAGAAGATAACGACGATAAATAGTTAATAAATATTTTGCATATACGTTTGAATATTTTTCAAGTAAAACGTTCTATCATGTTTAAATTTAAACCGTACCCAGTCTTAAATATTTAGCAACAATACTTTATTAATTCATTTAATTGTTTGCTTTAATATTACACAATCAATAACTTGCACCAAATTTATACATGAAAAAATGAGCCAAAATGTATGTCGCGTTTATTGAAAAATCTGATCGATATCATTAAATAATAAATTGATAACTTTTTTGTTTACAAAAAAGAATTTTAAAAAATACTAAAAAGAAATTTATTAAAAAAGTGCAATATATACGATCAGTTTTTATACGATATACAATCTTGAAGACATAGTTTCTCAAAAATCATTTAATATATATTTTGTTCCTGAAACTCATAATATATATTTATATAATATATATTTCAGAAATAATTAGTATATAACAAATATATCTAAATACGAAGTGCACAATATAGATTCCAATATTATATATCTGTTGGCAGTTATACACTCCTTTAGAATAATAATAATAACTAATATTACAAATAATATTGAAAATAATACATTCTTTAATAGATTACTTTACATTTACTTTCTATTACCACTGTTTACTCTTGTAATGTGTTAAATTAGTACGGATTTGCAAATTTTTCTCATGATTTAAAAATAATTGTCAGATGTCTTATAACTGCAATGATGATTAATTCTTGCAAGTTGAATGATATAAATCTTTGGTTATACTTTTTGAGAACAAGAATAGCTCGTATAGAATGCTGTTAAGAGCACCATGGTATGCGCGCGTTTTCATGTTTAAGATGTATTTTCTCTACATGCAATCTTGAAAAATGAAACCTTCAATTTCTATTTAACCAAGAAATTGCTTTCAATATGAAATATGCTAAAGTTAATGTATACAAAATTTTATCTCTTTGTTGCCGTTGTAATATTTCCAACTCGACTGCCATTACTCGACGATTTAGTTTTCCAACTTGACGACGTAAATGTTGTACTTCTTCGCTAGGTGGAAGAGACACGTCTACTGAACTGTAGGATGGTGTTTGTTCTCTAAAGCATTTATAACAAAGACATGTATATAGTGTTGAAGATAAAAATACAACTCCATTTTCAGATATTTTTTTACCTTACTTATATAAGTTAAACAAAAATAATTTATAATTATATACCTTCCACGCTTAACAATCTGGGTTTCTATATTAAACTGGGGATTGGTCCTAGGTAAGTCTTTAACTTCACTAGCATTAATTATCTGATCTTCTTCATCTACTGTAGGAAAATAGTGATCGTCCAGCGTTAAGATTCTTGGTGGTGTCTAAAACAAGTAAAGAGATACAAATATACATGTATAATGTAAATGAGATATTGCTTTCTTTTTCCTTTCTTTATAGAAATTTATTTTATATACCTGAACTCTAATAATGCCCGGTTCTGGTGGCATTACAGCATTTTCTAGAGTAATTTCTCTTGGCGGAGCTTTCGTACCAATATGCTGTTCCTGACCTGTTTAAATACAAGGAATAAATATAACGTAATGTAATATAACGATGTAAAAAATATATAAAAGTACTTGCCTACGACAAGAATCCTATCTGGTACATGCATTTCAAGCTTCTCGTTTGAGTTCGCTTGATTCCAAGCAGAACCATTCATAGTCGAAATGTCTTCGTCTGTATAATCTCCATTTACTCTAATACTTTTAGGGACTCTCATTCTTTTATTAACGTCCAAAGTAAAATTAGGGTCATAAAAATTGTCAGCTTCTCCATTAAAACGAGTAGGTATATGAGTTTTTGACATTGTCACTGAAAAATAACTAGACACTCTTATATACCATTTTATAATTACGTTTTTATATAATATTTATTCTAGAAAAGTATCTGACTTATATTCCAACAATGTAAATACAATAAATAGATAGCGTTTCCTTTTTAAATAAATCTAATATTTTCATAAATTATCAAGCTTACGTAAACAAAGGAAAGAAATGATGAGCAATTGTATATATATATATGTAGAAATTATTTTGTTCAAAATACATCAGTGAATTCTTTTAAACGTATCATATCTGATATTTGAATTATAGTTTAAAATGATATTTTTCAAAGTTAATATCAACTTACACACTGCAACAGATCACACGAAGTCATGAGCATTTAAAGGTTAAACACTTGCTTTAAATACCAAGTTATTTTCAATAAATAAAGAACGATATAACCTTCGATATGATAATCGACAAGTCACTTGCGATTCGTATAACAATTAAAGACAAAGATGTTGATGTTTTTTCGTTCTCATCGACGAGGAAAACTAATAGGAAATGTAATTAATCATTGTTTGAACATCAACTGATTATATTACATTTAACGCGTCAATATATTAAAGTATTAATTTACCTTTCTCACCTCTCTGGATCGTTAAATTTACAACTTTTAAATGAAGTTAGTTGCGAATCCGTTACGATACCTTCGCGATACTACACTTATGATCTATCGATTGTAATCAAATCGATGTATATTATGAAAACAACCGCGAAAGATCACGTTCTTCGTTTTTTTTTCAACTGTTTATTTAAATGAAAATATACGAAAGTTCGTTAGAAATTTTATTGTTCCATGAACAGTTGCGGATTCGTTTCAACTAGAGTAAGTAGTTATACAGTAATATTCCTACTTACGCTACCCTAACTTAAATAAACTTGGAGTTACGTAGTTCTTGATTTTATCGTTAAAAACGAGTAACCTTGAGTGTACTAACCGTGGCTACTAACCGTGGCTACTAACCGTCATTAAGAGCACACAGGGTCAATTCGAATCTAGACAATACTTGGATTTGAATATCACCGTAACTATACACTTTTTGTAAAAAGGTAGAAATATTTATTGTGAAAAATTGATTAAATTTTTAGCCTGTCCAGTAAGATATGCAAAATTAAAAAATGTAACCATGTGATAAGAAAAGTTGTTGATCTTGTCAAGCAATTAGATTCGGAAGTCAATAGTGATGTCACGAGTAAAACCGACGAGTAAAAAAATGGTCTCTGGACCATTGTTTCATAGAACCCAGTTCCATCATACAACCACATGACAATTGCAAGCTTGACAGTTGACAATTAGATTATGATATTTCTTTAAATGATTAAATTCATGAGGAGAGTGAACACATATAAATACATTTTATTAATATATATATATGTTTATGAATATGTTTACGTATATTTATGTTTGTTTAATTCCTGTATTTGTTAATTTATAAAATATCATCTCACAGCTTAAATATTTATTAAAAATCAAATTGAATTTTATAATAATGTAACAAATGTTATTAATAATTAGTATACAATATAAAATATATTACAATATTATCTATATCGTATGTGCGCGCACACGTACGCGTGTTATTCTAAATACAAATAGGCCTCTATGGCTCAGCTCGATGTGCATGAATGTTAAGTATGTATTTATTTTTTCTTTCATAAACTATTTAATCATTGTAATATTATCAGTTTCAAAATATCGTTTATGTAAAAAATAATTCTTAAAAATAATTTCTACGTGCATATAAAAGAGAGATATAAAATCATGTGATACACTAATAATACAAATTGTTGCGACATTTTGATTACGTTAATGTTAATTGCTAAAAAACGATATAATGTTGGAGAATGCTATAAAAAAAGATAAAATGACATGTAATTTTATTTACAAGTATATTCTATACAACATACGGATTGACCATGGATAAAATTTTTGTTCAATATGATATTTGTTTAATAAACAATAGTGTATCACTCTTACATCATCGATTTAATATCTTTTATAAACGTATTGCACGAAACATTGTATTTCTCTATCATTTTTTATAATCGCTCCTTTTTAATTTTTTATATATAAGAAATGGAATAAACGTTTTTTCTTTTTCTCAATAGAAAAAATTAATATATAATATATAACAAATAATGAAATCAACGAGATAGACACTCTGATGAAATTAACAATCATGCTTTTCTATATCAATTAAATAGTAACAAATTCTTTTGTACGCTACTTACTGTCAAAACATTTTTTTTAAACAATTGTATTTTACTTATTGTATTTCTTCTATATTGTCAACTTTAATGATCGTATAATTGTATACAGTAATAATATATTAATGCGTACAATTATATTCTATAACTTTCATAAATACAATTATTTGCAGCAGTGATTGCACTTAAATATAAATATGATCTATTTGTTTTTATCCCAATTCGTGCATATATATATATAGAATATATAATAACTGACTCTTTTCAATTGTAAATAGCAAAATATATACATCATGAGTCATACTATATTTTCTTATGATAGTATATTTGAATTCAAAGAGCTAACTACAGTTCTCTGCAAGCAGTTAATGAAATGCAATGGAAATGATTTGTTCATCATTATTTTTGTCTATTGGCAAAATAGAAAAATGTCTTATTTCTTATCTTTATTCTCGTGTAACATTATATCTGGATATTTTGGAAAGTCAACGGCATCGACAGGATTTTTCACTTTAAAACTAGGGAATAGTCCTGTCATACTAGTTCTAGTATTATAACCTTTGGAATATCCATCCCAATGATTTCCATATACTTCGATTAGATCACCAACCTTCAATTCCAATTCGCCACTTTTTCTTGGTTTATGATCCATAATAACTATATGAGGATGCGAATTTTGTCCACCGTAGTAATAAATATCATCCAACGATGAAAATCTATTATATGCATCCGGGTAATAAGTTTGCATTAATTCGTACGCAACTCTGCATACTTGCGAACTAAATGTACACACTAGATAATCACTTAAAGACAAAAGATGTATATCTATAATAATTCCTTGTAAAGATGAGTCCGAATAACGTTTTGACACTGATGCTGTCTCAGCTATTTCAGGATCACCAATAATTTCGTAATTGGGATAGCGACTTCTTGCTGTTGTTATTACTTTTGGATCGTCGCTAGCCAAAAATACTCGTCTTACATCTGGTTTTGTTTCCAGTTGGTCAAAATATTGATCTACTTTAATCATATACTCATCTATGTCGTGATATGCAGCTTCAGTACCGACTTTATCGGTTCTACGAACGTGAACGCCAACGATTGGTTTTTTAAAACCTAATTTCTCTTTTGCGTTATCTAATACTTTTTGCATATTATCTTGAGGTCGCATTAAGTATTTTAAGACTTGTCCCACCCACCAAACTAATGGATGGCCATGAAGCTTCTTTAACCTTTCCGCTATATCTGCTGGTACACTTGGAGGTTGAAATTTAGGTTTGGGATAAACGTTATCCACAATTGGCAAGGAAATAACTTGTTTAGAAGAATCACCGGGCCAATTAGCATAAGATACACCATTTACGGATAAACATGTATCACTAAGAGGCTTAAAAACTGATTCCCAACCTTCCTTACGATATCTCCATCCTTTTGACTTTATTACAAGTGTTCTTTCCGTTCCGTAGGCAACCAAAAAACAGTAAGTAATATGATGTATCTGTAATTAAATTATATACGATCGATCACATATACATTCAAACGATATGATCTTCTTTGATTTATTGAATATAACTTACCTGGCAACCGAAACCACAGCCTTTATTTAAACTGCATACTAACTTCTTTGCTTTATTACAATCGGGAGGATTTTGTAAATACCTTAATAAAGAAATATAAATACGTTAAGTATACAACAGTTAGAGTACAAATACCTCAAATAATATTCCATCTTACTTGAATCGACTTTGGACAAGATCCGATAATTCTTTAGCCTCTTTTTTCCGCCATTCTTCATGACCGTCAGCTTTCGTTAATCTATCTACATCCATAATAAGAGACTTTTTATGTTCCCAAATATTACTTACTGCATCTTGAATTTCTTTTTCTTTTTGTTCAAAAGAAAATTCGTCTATGTGCTTTTTGAATTTTGTTAATACAGCATTCATATAGTACCTATAAATTAGGCGAAGTAATAAACATTGTTACAACAATGTATTAAAAATAAATTCTTACTTATTTTTTAAGAAAATTTACGTACCACATTTCTTGTACATCATTTCTTATTTTACGCCGCAGTTCTTCGTATTCCGAAGAAGGTATATTATTTTTAGATCCAACATGCTGATCCAATAGATCATAATAAATTGAAGCTCTATCAGCTCTTTCTTGAGCTGAACCCAAATGATCTCCTTGTAAAGATTTAGTTCCATCCCTAATAATTATATTGACTTCAATAATTCAAAACTCAATTACAATAAAATTGATACACGTACAAATTTACATACCTTAGTATAATATTTTTTAAAGCATCATTTTGTTTCTTAATAATTTCAAAATCATTAATCATTTGTGCTAAACGTTGAGCATTTTCTTTATTTGTAGGAGTCCCATCTTGTGATGATATAGAATTTGTTTTGAAAACGTGTAGAACAGATATAATTAATATTAACAGCCACGTTGCTAGCAAAGCTATTCCCAATTTACCTAGCCATCCAGGTCTCCCTGACCAAAATGTTGCCATTCTAAATTATTGGAATGAAAATCTTCCATTTATTGCATTTCATCTCATCTGAAATCACATTTAATGATAATTTATTATTAAAATAGCAAATTATTATATTATATTACAACAAATTTATAAGAAATTATTACTACTATTGATTGACAATATTTGACATTTTGATAAGTCTAAATTAAAAGAATATATTTTTAAATAAATATACACGCGTTATGAGAAAGAATTAAATAATATTTTTATCGATGTATCTTCTACGCTGTAACAAGATAATTGTTAATTGTTTATTATCTTTCATTAGAGATACGTAATAAGCATGACACATGATCATACACAAAATCATAATACTACATAGACATATATCGAGTACTTGAGAGAAACAAGTTCATCATAAGAATTAGTATTTATTCTCGTAACGTGAATATATACAAAATCTTGATAATTACAGATTATACCTAATTGGAGAATTGTTATTTAAGAAATCAATCAAATATAAAACTCACAATTTTAAGATCAAATAGGTACTAGCTCGATCATAGTATAATTACTTCCGCTTTTGCGTGCATGACAGCGCCATTACTTTATATCATGTGTTGTTTTTATCCTTTTTGCTCGATTTTGCAGATAAAATTAGTTTCACTAACATCATTGAGTAACCCTTTCTCTACATTGAAAATGATTCGACTTTGGAACCAATTAATTAATAATATTTGCTATGTTATTATTTATTTCGATGTGTCATAGAGACGTTGTTTATGTTTATATCAATAGTTATTAGGACTCTAGATAAGAATAATAATAATAATTTATTATTATTATTAATTAAAGTTAATTTGAAATAAATTTTATCGTAATAATTATAGCAATATCTGTTAAGTTAATTGTTTTTTAATTACAAACTTAATCCAACTTTTTATCGAATTGATAATTGTATTAGGAAACAAATAAGATAACACGACCAAATTTACTTTATACTTATTAACATATATAGTTTTTTATATAATCCCTATCAATTTTGCAGCATTTTAATTGGACCAACCAATCAGTGAATTGGAAAGATATAATAATCGTTCGCAAAAAGAACACAATACGGTGTTTTCATTGGTTGTTTCCTGTCTAGTAATAACCAACGAGATTACAGTATTCTCAAAGAATCACGATGATGATATGGTGCGTAAAGCATTCACATAAATATAAAAACCAAATAATATTTTATAATGCAACGAACGAAAAAAGAAGAAAAATAATAATTCGTAAAAAAAGAAAACTAAGGAGAAATTTTAAAGGTGACCACACATATTATTGTCTACATCGTGGCAAAGCAAGCATTTCTTAACACAGAAATGCGCCCTTCTTTCCCTCACTGCGCGTAATTTTTTTTACTTAACCCTAAAAACATGCAGGATTCTTGCGCGCACAAACACGTACGGCGGCTACAAATGTTGTACCTGTGAATAGTGTTTTTTAAGCTCTTAATTTTTAATAAATTGTGCTGTAAGTGAAGAAGAACGCACGTGATAGGATAAGAAAAAAGAAACACAGAAAATAGGTTAGAAGGAAAAGAATGAATTATTCTAAATCATTCTTCCCGCCGAGGTAAAAATTGCATACACGATTTCATACACATTCACGCATTATATATGGAGAGAGGAAGAAGGGGAGATATTAGGTCATTACATATGAAATGTCCAATTATCCTTAGTATCAAGTTTGATACTCGATTTCTTCGATATTACACTTTGACCTTTGTTTATTTTTTATTAGGAAGGTACATCATCAACCCTTCAGATGTATGTTTGGTTTGTAATTGTTCATCGAATTGCCTTTTGCAGATTAAATTTTCATGAATAAATAAAAAATTCGCGTTGTTTACGGATGAGTTTCGTCGTGGAACTAATATAATACAGACAATTCAAAGTATCAACAAAATGTTTACAAGGATGTGGCTAATGAACGCACAGTACGTCGATGGTTCGACAAGTTCGGTTTAACAATTTTGATTTTCAAAATGAACCACGTGAGCGACCTAAGAGCAAGGTGGATAATAATGAACTGAAAGGTGTAATGGAAGCGGATATATCTCAAGGTATAAGCAAGGTTTGACATTTCTATTCCAACATTATTATATCATTTGAAACAAATCGGTAAGGTTTAAAAGCTGAATATTAGAGTTCTGGATGAATCAGTGATAGAATAAAAAAGTAATGTATATATCAAATCTTAACTCTTGATGTATTAATAAATATAATAAAATCTATATTACTTATTAAATTATTTTCCTTGTCTGTGTCTCTATTTCCTTTTTCAATACTTCGAGTTGTAATTAGTAATATTATTCGAGCATACGAGAACGAAGAGAAGATACAAGAAATTTGTTTTCAACTTTCCTTGGCCTTCTACTTAATTTTATCCAGTTCCTCCTCTCCCGTACCTTTTCTCTCTCTCTCTTTTTTTCTTTTTATTTTAATTATTTTATCAAGTTTTAAGTAAATTGCTTTTTTTCCTTATCGAGTACGTAATCGGATATTTTCGTGGTACTTTTGGAATTTGTTTTTATCCTTCTTTTGTCTTTTGTTTCCTAGCCTTGTTCCTTACATTTTCGATTTTTGACGGAGCTTAAAGTTTTTTCGTTTCGACCAGATAGAGAGGTTATATTGTCCGACATTGTTACTTGAGACTTTTCTCGGAAAAATAAATCCAAAGTAGCGTCTTTCTACTTCAATTCTTACTTTTCTACCCCATTTTTTCTGTTTTCTAATTCTCTATGTGTACTGTGAAGATCTTTCCAATTGTTATGTCGCACGTGTATGTGCATGACAGTGCGTGTGTGTGATCGTTTACGTGACGATATAATCTGTATAGTGCATCGCGTCTCTGTGTGGTGGATGTTGTTAAAAAATCCGGCAGTAAGCGCGCGCCACAAAAGAGCAGCAGCTGCCATTGCTGGCTGCGCTGGCTGGCGTTCGCTAGCGTTCAGCAAGCGATCGTAAATATATCGCCCTTGGAGTTGTTCCTTTCTTGTCGATCGTCCTCGTATCGTTCGCGTTGCATATACTCGTTGTTGTTGTCATTATCGTTTTTTCCTTTCCTTCATCTTCACCGTCGTCGTCCTCGCTCTTGTCCTCGTCCTCGTAGTAATCATAATCGTAATAGTAGTTATAGTTAAACTCGTCAACGTCATTGTCGCCGTAGTCGTCGTCATCGTTGTCGTTGTCGTTGTCGTTGTCGTTGTCGTCGTCGTCGTTGTGGAAATAACAGGAAAGAGAAAGGGAAAGGAAGCGAAATAGACAAATAGAGGAAGAAATAAAGAAATAAAGAAAGAAGAAAAAGAAGAAGAAGAAGAAAAGAGATGTAACGCATTTAACGCGCCACGCGTGGAACATGTTATTGCGGCAGAAACGTAGCGGACATTGAAGAGAAAGAGAGACAGAAAGAGAGTGAGAGAGAAGTCAGCATCGTGTGCGTCGTCGTGGCTGCGTCGACCAAACGCCGGTTCTTCGTAGCGAGCCTAACCTTTCGATTTGCGGACGCTCGCTCGTTCGCTCATTCGGTTGGTCAGTTCGTAGTTCGTTCGTTCGTTAGTTGGTTCCGAAGTGTTGGTCGGTGTGTCGGCCACTCGCTCGGTCGCTCGTTCGTCCGTTTATACGTTCGTTCGCTCGCTCGCTCGCTCACTCATAAGCTTGCTTGATTCGCTCGTTTTAAACGATATCATTCGTACGGCGCGTGTGTGTGCCTGCGGAAGAACGGCTGTTGCTGCGGGTTTGACAGGACGATGAAGTGGCTCGGCGCGAGCACCGCTGGCGCCGGTGGTGAACCGGCACCTTCAATACAACTGCATCATCCTTCAGCCAACGGCCACATACCCACGGTAAGAAAATATTTTTTTCTTTCTCTCTCTTACTCTCTCTCTCTCTTTCTCTCTCTCTCTTTCCTCTTCTTCTTCTATTATTTTCTCTTATTGCCCTTCTTCCTCTCTCTTTATTTTCTCTGTTTGCTGCTTGCCTACCTATATCTCTTTCTCTTTTTCTTTTTTCTTTCTTTTTCTCTTTTTTTCCCCTTCCCTTTCTTTCTCTCTCTTTCTTTCCTTCAATTCTTTATCTTTTTGCTGTCTACCTATCTCTGTCACTCTCTCTCTCTCTCTCTCTCTGTCTCTTTCTCTCTCTCTGTCTCTTTTTTACTTAACCTTCTTCATATTTAATACTTTCTTTTCTATTCCAATCAAAATCAGGAGAATAAACAGCTAAATTAGTTTTTAACGAGTGTTTCTTCAATACAATTAAGAAATATACGAAAGTTTATATTAATGACCAATGGTTTGATACGTCTGAGTCACTTTGATTAACTAACAATAAGTTGTGTTAGTATATTTGACATAGGATTATTAGTTTTCTTCCAATAATATAGAATCATATTAATTGCGTTTAAAAAAGATAAATGCAACATGTAATTGTATGGTTTCTACATATTTGAGTACGAAGCTATTATATTCGACTAATAAATAATTTATATTGTTCATGAAAAACTCATTGGTTATATTCTTTGCTTAAGATATATTATTATATTACAAAATAAATGTAAATAAGTATATTATAAACGATTTTGGGGGAAAATATATTTCCCACAATTGCTTCTTCATGTTTGAAATTCTGAAATATTAGGTGTATCTAATAAGCGTCATTGTCATAAACGTGGAATCATTTATTGTTAAAAGGATGCAGAGCAGTGCAGTCAAGCCATGGCAGGTGGTGACAGTATGCGAATACAACCTGGTCAAGCTCATCAGATTGGAGCTAGTAGAACTCAAGACGATGCAATGGTTGGATACGTGTTTCAACGACCTACCGAACCAGAATTCAATGCACAATCTGCTAATTTTCAAACAAAACAAGCACCAAGAACATGGACGTTAGCGGATGATACAATTGTCGATAATGTAAGTAAATCTTGAATGGTTTTATTATAATGAAAGGTAAACAATAATATAAAATATTATATAATTTTGTGAATGATTTTAGAATCAAGAAAAGTGGAAATATCCCATGACTAAACTCAGTATACCTCAACAAAGTCAACCACAACAATTGAGTTTACAAACAATGAATAACATACATTTACCATATGAGATTCATCAAATGCAACTCAAGGTAATTTTATATGGTTTTTCCTGTGTGCGATATATAAATATTATTGATTATGGTACTCATTATTGGTGTACAAATAATTAATAAATTCTGTATGTTGCTAGAGCGGAGCTCCTGGAGCAGAGCATTTGGTTTATCTTAACAATCAAATGACGGCACAACAACAAGTTGCACTTTTTCATCATCAGCATCAGCAGCAGCAACAGCAGCAGCAATTTAGAAATGGACAAGTAAGTACTACATTATGTGATCAAAATTAATCTTATATAAGTGGTTATGTCGTAGTAATTAAGAGAAATTTGATTTCCTAGAAGAAATATTGAGGTTTTATTTTAACACGAATCTTTAAATCACACTCGTATACATTGTGGCATAAACCAATTTAGCTATGATAATTCATTTAAAAGTTCCGATTTGACAAAGCAACTAAAATAAATAATGCATATAGATTCTATCATACAGTTATAAATTATACAGATCTCATCTCTTTCCTTATTATACTTTATATATCAATATTGTCTATTATATTGCACATAAATTAAGTAGAGCTTTTAAACTTGTGCATAAATTGATTCATATTGTTTCACATGGGATCATTATGTATTTGCATCATTTAATATATAGATACGTATTTTATAGAATTATGATGTTTTCATTAAGAGCGTGTATTTAAAAATACATTATTTTCATATTCTTTGGTAGATATTATAAATCGATAATAATATTATCATTTTAACATCAAACAATATGGTAACAGATAACATGTTTATAATCGATTGTAAAGAGTACTCTTCATTTTGACATTAATAATTTCTTGTAGGAATGTCTATCGCGAATTATATTTCGATAATTACAAATTTTAGGTGTATTTAAATCAAATAAATCAATTTAGGTTATGGTTGATTTCGCGCGTCACGGGGGGACAAGGCCCACTCGATGTGTAAATTTGGAAAAATCATGTCAAGGTTGAAATTTGGCTACTTCGTTGTTTATACTCGAAGAAATAATTAAGATAGATATTATTACTCCTTGTGCAAGAATTTGATCGTATCGTCGAATGGAATTTGTCAATTTGTATTTCGCGCGCCATTTAATTAAAAAAAAAAGAATGCTGCTTGAAGTTTTTGGCGGTTTTCTTAGAGTCGCATATAAAAATTCGAACATTCAAGATAGTTTGTGGTAAGAAGATAATTACGTTTAAAACAGTGACTGTCATTGTAATGTGATTGATAAAACTTATTACATTAGTCGATTTTTGAAACATCTTATCGTTGAGCTTAATCGTTTTATTGTCTAAATATCATTAGACGATTGTTATATTCTAACGGTGTCGCAGATAAATTGGGTTAATTTTTATAATTTTATTGTGCAAGGTAATTCGTTGCTTTAGTCGTTCTGTAATTTCTTTCATCATACTCTGCTATATCGAGCTTATATCTTTAAATTATAACATCGCATATTTTATTAAAAAGAAGAAAAAATCTAAATGTTGACTCGTTAAATCGAGTTTGTCCACGCGGTGAGAAACTCTTGAATTTACCGTGAGAGGGAGGAAGGCGAGGCTCAAAAGAATAGCATAACACAACGAATGTGTTTGGACGAAGGGTAGGCGCGAATTTTCTTGAAAATTCGTTGATTGGTTGGAGCGAGTAGACCCGCCGCGTGGTAGCTGGCAAATAGTGGGGGTGGGGGGTGAAGAAAGAGATCTAGTTATTTACCGTCAACGTCAGAGTGCGCTAGGGTCGCGCGTCGTTCTTTGTTTCATTTGGACGATCAGTTCGTCTCGTCCAGCAGCGCAGGGAGGCCGGTTGAACAAGAAAATTTTCGCTTTAAACGAGGGGTGTCTAAGCTATTATTCGTAATAATCCTAGAAATAAAACGCCGAGCAATTACCCCGAAAAAAGTTTGAAAGACAACGCGCATTCTCCGCGACATGCTGCTGCTAGTGCTGCTAGGACGAACGTGAAGCTGCTCGAGTTAACGCGTTTCGATCGATTTGGAAAGCTCCCGTGTATATTCTCCTGGAAAATAAAATTCGTATTCCTCGCGTAGTGTGAAAATAGTGTGCTGCAAAGTGTGCGTGATTGGAGAAGAGAAAGGTATTGGATTTGTGAGCTGGAAAAAGGAAAGGAAAGGAAAGGAAAGGAAAAGAAGGAAGAAGGAAGATAGTGTCGGATTAGGGGAAAAGAGCTTTTCCGGTGTGTCGGTGGTGTTAAGAAAGAAAAGCTTAGGAAATAAGTAACACGGAAGAAGGCTTTAGATAGCGGCGTTAGCATCGGTTTACGTACACCTTTGGTGTTGAATCGTTGAACGGGCGGACCCAAGGATTCCCTATCTCTCGCGCTCGTCTCTCTCTTTCTCTTTCCGTCTCTCTTCGTCTCTCTCCGTGTTTCTCTTTATTAGTCTATCCCTTTCTTTCTTTTTCTTTTGTGCCGTTTCTACGTCACTAAATCCCTATCCTGCTCATCGGTTGGCTTGCCGGCTTTAAGAGCGAGAGATACGATACAGACAGACGGACAGACGGATCGTGCACGTTTTTTTTCTTCTTATCCTTTGATAAGAAAGTAGAAAAGGTGAAGAGAGGAAAAGGATTAGAAGATTAAAGAAAGAGAAAATAAGAACAAATTATCGTGTCGAGTCGTGGCGCAGGATAGGAGAGGTGGTGGTGGCGTAGTGCGACGAGTTAGATCACAACCGGCATCGCATCGTCCACCCTATTTCCTTCACCTTCTCTCTTCGTAGGAGTTATTGGACGCACCGGCAGGAGGGGGGCCGCCCTTTTAAAACAAAAAGTGAGAAAGAGAGAGAGACAGAGAGACAGACAGGCGTAATCCTCGGCGTCTCTCTAACCACAATCACTTACCACATCATTACATTTACCAACACCATCTCATTAACCTTTTTCGTGTCTTATTTGCTCTTGATCATCATCGGTCGATCTCTTGTTGAAAAAAAGTATTCTTCCTCGTTGTGTCCTCTTGTTGCTCTCTCTCCTATCGATCGAGCAGTGCATGTGAGAAGAAGAAGAAGAAGAAGAGAGTGCTGCGCCGCTTTGAGTTTCTTTTCGTCCGGCGCGCGTTTGTTTGTGCTACCACAACGAAACGGGGTTAACGGCGAATCCAGCAACGACAACAACAACAGTGGTAGTAACGACGCAACGAGTTCTACTTACTTCGGATACGGTGGAGAGTTTCGGTGTAGGATACGGCCAGGGTGCAAGCACCAGTACAGGCGACTGGATGAAACCACCGGGGGACTTATTCCTTTATTACGATATGAAGGATCTGGGAGCCGACATGGTATTTACAAACCAAACAACCATCTCATCTCGTTTCTTAATTCCTTTATATCAACCCCATCCATCTCGATCGTTATCTCTTTCTGTTTTTATTTTCTCTTATCAAAAATCTATATATCTATCGTTTCCAATTTATATTCTTCATTTGCATTTGTATTCGTCCTGCGAGAAGAGCAGCTAACGCGTATTATCGCCGAATGCGCTCCCACGAGTAATAAATCATAAATTCGGTTTTAGGTTATGGTCGTTCTCTAGTCGCAGAGTTATGTCGCGCGCATCGTATGGAACGCGCTTGGACACGCGCGCGCTCTCCGCCAATTCTTACCGGTTTATTTTTCCTTTCCTATCCTTTCCTTTCTTTTTCTTTTTTTTTTCTTTTTCTTTTTTTTCTTTTTCTTTTGCGTTGTTCCTCTTTGAGGTTATCATACACAACATTTCTCTCTTTCTCTCTCTTTCTCCCTAACTTTGTTAGGTATTTTTTCTTTCCTAGTTTTCTCGTGATTAGGGTATTTTTTTTTTTTTTTTAGATTAGAGTTTGTTATTAAATTTTATTTATATTAATCGCAGAACTCAATAATTTAATTAATACGATATTTAATTTAATTATATTTTGTATATATTCAATTTTGCATTTAATGGATATAATTTATTTACCACACACAATCATTTGAAATATTAAACGCAATTGTTAAATGAAACAATTAATGTTTCAATTTAACAAGTTTATCTACCAAAATTAAACATTTAACAATTAAATAACATTGAATAAACAAATTAATTACAAATTATGTGTAAATAAAACGCGTAAACGTTGATAATGTTATTGACGAATTTTATTATCGAAATTATCTCTTCTTATAAACATGAATTAGTTATTGATTTATTTATAACGTAGAATAAACTTTTAGATATTGATCCTTCAAAAAACAAATATTAACATCGTAAACAAATTTAACGATTATAGTAGTATAGAATGAAGTATTAACAAATTCACAAGAAGAAGAAGAACATATGAGAGTGATCTGAAAATTTTTGAACCATCAACCAAAAAAAACTTACTTTTTCTTAAAAGTAAAAGTGAGTTTGACCGAAAAAGGGGATTGTTTCTTTTTTTATGCTCAAAACTTGTCAACTCCCCCTACGTACAAGGTGTCCCAAGAGAAGAACAACAAATAACAAATCAATATTAATTTATTAATAAAACTGCAATATTTTTAATTTTTCATTCTAATATATGAATTTATAGTTAGAGTGCAGTGTTTTAACTAAATTATGGACACGCGTTGCTTCCACTGTAAATAATTGACAAAAATATTTGTTAAAAATAATTATATACTTCGGTAAATCGACTTTTGGGACATCCCGTATGTGAGTCATCCACAACACATTAACAAATAATATGCATGACGTTGTTTCATTTGTTGTTGATTTCCTAGACTTACGAGAAGTAGTGTAGACACATACAGGTGTGACATACGTGTCGTTGAACCTAAACGCATCACGTTTCCCGTGACCTATCACTGAATGCGTATGACAAGGACGTCAACTTGTTCGTTGTTATCATAGTCATTATTTCTTATCGAACGTTTACGAGATTCACAAGATTCGTATAATCTTAGAATGTATTCATTGTCATCATCATCATCATCATTATCATAAGCAGCTGTAAGATATATAGGCATATCGGTTTATATTAGATCTAGTACTCGAATTCATAAATCCACGAGTGAGATAATAAGAGTCTCTAGTGTGTTGTATCGACGACGTCATTATACGTCGTTACGTTCGAAGATTCACACCAACATATTACATTAGGCATACAAGAAATCGCGTGACGTAATTATCTCCGCACGAGATTCCGATAGTATCGTAATAATGTAAACATAAATATAAATCTATCGAGATTCTGACAGAGACGACGACACCATCATCACTTTCGTCACGAATTTTGTCGAGGTGTTATGTGTACACAACACGAAAAGTTCAATCTTCGATTTTTTTATTTTTATTTTATTTTATTTATTTATTTAAATACAGATATCAATAAGAGAGAGTACAATAGAAAGAGCGTTTGTAGCCATAGTTCCGATAAGTAAAGAGGAAGAAAAAAGAAATAAGTAAAAAAAATAAAATAAAAAATAAAAAAAAAAAAATAAAAAAAAAAGAAAAAAAAAAGAACAAACAAATAAATAAATAAATAAAGAGAGTTTATAGAATGAGAAAGACAATGGGGGGTGGGGAATTTGTTTGGTTGGTGCTTTAACGCGCGCGGACAGTGGCCGTGACCCGTGGCCGGGGGCCTGGGGAGGGGTCGGTGGCCCCGTGGCTGTTTAGCGACGTCCACGGTGCGCGTCGGAAGACCGCCTGCCTGCCTGCTTGCTTGCTTGCTTGTGGTCGCGGTGATGGGGGGGAGTAGACGGCTAGGCGTGCTTTGGTGGGAGGAAGAATTTCTCTCTCCATCTAGTGGGTGGACGCGCCTGAAAGGGGCCAGTGCGGGGGGGGAATAGCCGCGCGGAGGGTTGCGCGCCCCGCGCGGTACGGTAGCAAGACGGAGAAAACCATTTGCAACGGTGGTGAAGTGAGGTGGAGAAGGATGATGATGCGGAGGATGCGGAGGATGAGGTTGTGGGGGTAGGTGGTGGTATTCCCGTCATTCTCCTTCTCTCTCGCTCTCTCCCACGCGTCGCGATGTGGAAAGCGTCTCCACCGGCCGGCGTCGCGGTCGATACTCGCGGCATATCATCCCCGGCTGACCGAGCCTTACCCTTACTCTCTCTCTTTCTCTCTATCTTTCTCTTTCTCTCTTTACTCCTTACTTTAAATTATATCCACAAGTTTTGATCGATGCGAAACGTTTCATCGAGACCATTCGATCTCTTCTATTTTTCCCTTTTCTTTTTATTTATTTATTTTTATTATTATTATTATTATTATTATCTGTCTTTATTTCTCTTTTTATTTTCTCCTTTTTTTTTTGTCTGCTCCGAATGAAAACATTTTCTCTATTTTAAATTCAGATCACGTAGCTGAGATTTATCTTCTTTTGATATAAGGGATTGCCAGCTTTCCTTGAACGTTGTGTTTTGTTGAATCGAACGTTGAATCGCAACGAACTATTATGTTTGTTTGTTTGTTTGTTTCTTTCTTTCTTTCTTTTTTTCTTTCTTCTTCTTCTTTGGCTTTTGGTATCTCGACAAAATCTAACCCTTATCGGTTCGATTTAACGACTTGTACTTAACGGAGCCCCCCGATTCGTCCGTCCCGTTCGTTTTTGAAATGAATTGATTGACAAACTGAGGATTTGATAAAAATCGAACAAGTTATGCGGCTTTGTAAACCGGTTACAATCCCATAGGAAAAATGATCGATCGAAGTGGACGGATCATCTGCCTGCCTGCCCCTATCCCTGGTACAAATGCGAAACAACCAGGACTATTCTTTTTTTTCTTTGCCTTTTGCGTAATAAAATTTTGTTCTATTAATACTTTTTCTTGATATCTGACACCGCGTTTCATTTTACTTTCATCAAATTAATACTTAGAGAGTAAATAAATTCAATCTAATTAGGGGTATAATTCTTTTGTTAAAGTTTTTATGTACTCCATAAAAAATTAATCGATTTAATTTATCATGCGAATTCTAGGTTTTTTTTTTCTTTTTTTTTTTTCTTTTTTTTTTTTTTTTTAATTCAAAGTTTTAGAAGTATATGTTCTACTGATATCAATAGATTCGTTCCTGTACTATTGCATTAGATTATCATTTACATTAGGTATATAGTACATGCGTTCTCTGTCCACGTTATATCGTACCATTGTCACGGCACACACGTATCGGAATACACCTGTATAGAGAATTCCGAGATCCTCGTGCGTCTTCGTGTTTCTCTCTTCCTCGATTCTCTTTTTACCGCGTTCTATTACGTCATGGATCTTAAGTTGCGTGAGGTTAGGATCGGTGCAACGGCCCCTCGGCGAACAACTATACGTAGTTAAGTCCCGAATGGAAACTACACTTTTGTTTTCTCTTAACCAAAACAGGTGGGATTTGCACGAATAAACGATCAATAAATTCATTTTTTATTCGATCCATTTTTAATTCTGAATATCCCTATTAACAAATACAAAATTAAATATTTATACGTAGAAATATAATAAATAAATAAGTATGTATGTATGTATGTGTATATTTGGGGTGTCGTGTGCTCGAAATTTTGGGTTCTGGTCGAGCAGACTCGACATACGTATTGTCAAATGTTTATTAATATAAATGATATAAGTATACATTTAAGAAACATTGTTTTTAAATGGAAGACAATAATTTTTTACGTCTTACTTATTATAATATTGTCCGTAATTTTGTAAACCCACACACACTTCTGATATTTACATATGATTAAATAAGAAAACTTGTGTAGTTTCATCTCTTATAAAAATGTGTAAATGAATTTATTTCTTACATAGATAAGTAAGAAATATGTTCGATCCAACTGCCGATCTATAACCATTGTTTTTTAATATTCTAGATCGCTCCCTCGGCAAAAAAGCTTTGGGGTGTGGACGAAGGCGGTTCCAAGGACGAGGGTGGCGTAAAAGGTGGTGGGGGGATACTTCACCTGGGCGACCACCAAATGTGGCGAGATTCTACTTGGAGTACTTCAGGTATTTTCATATGTTACATTTCAAATGATCGATCCCGTTACCTTGGATCAAACCAATTATTCATCTTAATTTTGATACCTTCGTTCGTTACGTCTTAAACGATCCTGTTTACCTTACCATTCTATTCTTCGATCATTATTTTACAAAGGTCACCATGTCCATCTATTCCGAGTTATAAATATTTGTATGCGATCGATCGATCGATCGATCGATATAGGGTTTGAATACAATCGTATGTTGATTCAACGATGATGCATTTGACGGGGCATCGTATATGTCGTATGAAAAATGAGTTTAATTATTGATTACAAAATCTACGATTAAAGTTAGCCACAACACACACAAAGTCAGCCAAAGTCTTGCTTTCACTTTCGTTGTTCACATTATTGAATGAATAGGAGGGGAAATAATTGTTCCTCCAGCTTGAGTGAAATGTAGTATTGTAAAGGTAGTAGCAGTAGCTGCAGCAGCAGCAGCAGGTGAATAAGAGAAGATGTATCTCGATACCGTTGGCATGTTGTTGGGGCGCGAGAGTGGCAGGCAACGTGTGTTGCGAAACTGAACACTTGATTCCGCGATTTGAACGTGCACATGCGAAACGTTCCTGCGTGTGCGCCGCCTCCTCACGAGGATGGGTGCAACGCGGCTGTTGCTATGGCGACAGACGCCCGGCATCGGCATCGAGGGCGGTATAGGGGCAATGTCCCAACAACGCCAGGGACGTGCCTACCGATCCACCCTATGACAATCTTCAACCCTCCCCCTTACTCTCACCCCCTCCTTCCTTAACCCTTTTCAATTCCTTCGATTAACCAACATTCCATAGCTAGGGGGAGGAAGAAGAAGAAGAAGGAGGAGGGGTCTTTGCTAATTTTAATGTCTTCCTCGATTCTGTTTTTTTTTCTCAACAGACAATTTATCCTAGGTAGTTCCGATCAATGATTTATAATTAAAATTTCAATAGACGAGAACAACAAATATAATTTATTTCTTGTTTTTTTTTCTTTCCCTTCTTCTAACAAATTAATATGATCTTTTAGTTTTGTTTGTTTATTTGTTTGTTTTATTTTTTCTATTTTCTAATAGATCATGCTGTATCACAACCAATATCGATGGGCAGACGAGTGGGTGTTGGTACCGGATATCATCATCAAACTTCTGAAGTTGGGACTGTTCTCAGTCCTAGAAGCAGGTTGGTTAAATGTTATTTTTCAATTTATTTAAGTGACATTATGCTGAATTTATATTAATACTATGAAATTTAAATGTGATCTAATATTTCAAAACTTTGGTATATAAGATCTTCTCTTTTAAGTGAAACGGGTGGATTGGGAGTCAAGATGGTGGAATATGTTCTTGGTTCAAGTCCCACGACACCTAAGGATTTAGAACCTCGAATGGGATCTCTTCGATTGGTAAATTTGATAAATAGAGAAAAATATAAAATCTTCTCATTTATATTTACATACATATACTTATGTTTTTTTCCCCTCTATATAGAATACGGACACAGACAAAAAAGAAAAAGATAAAGGATCGGCAAGCCCATTTGATAATTCGAAAGATGATACTGGTCCACAAGGTAATGGATTAGCTTCACAAAATGGTCTTGACGATGATAAAGGTTTCAAGTAAGTATTGATCGATGAAAAGGAAAAGAAACGAAACATTCATTTCCTACACCGTTCGAATTTTATTAATTTTCCATATTGATTTTTGTTTATTGGTTTTACTTAAAAGTCATTAAGGATTAATTAGAATGCAAACACTTTTTGAAATATTTTTCCATACTTGCAAGAAAAAGAGAAAAACATACATACGTATAAATATCAATAATAATTGTCGTCGTCGATAAGCGAAAGGAAGGAAAGAAGGAGAATACGTGCTTATCAAATTGTTATATTACGTTTCAAACAATCATATTAACAGATTTGATAATTTAAATGTATTATGTTGTTATATATCGCATAATAGCGAATATTTATCAGGGTTTAGCCGGACACGCTGAGAAGAAGAAACGTCACAGTGATAAAATTGTCAAGGGCGTGGAAGCTTTGATTTTGTTTGCTGCTGTTGTTTTGCTTGCACGCGGTCGTCGGCATCACGCGTACACGTGTTTTATGTCATATTGTCACTTTTCGTTAACTAGCGCCATCTGCGACTCTGGTCAAAAGTACTTTGTAAAAAAAACATTACCGACACTTTCACAAGATAAGTTTTCTCTTTTCCGTCGGTACGTCAGATTTGATTTTTTTTCTCTCTCTCGATCGATTAACAATCTTTTACACAATTTTAAATTAAAATTATTATTTCATAATAAATAATAATATTATATTGGGCGTTTTTATTTGATCTATTTATATATTCGCTGGGTAGAGATATTATAAATTTAAATTTACTCGTCGATTATTTATTATACGAGGGCGATCAATTTTACAATTAAGTTTTATCGTTTGCATTATAATTATGTTACATGCATCGTTATTAGTTAAGAATAATATTTACATATTTATGACAGAATTTTGTTGAGCCTAATAAAGACTAATTTTTGATTGTGAAATTAAAATTTCAAGATTCGGCCCTTAGTTTGATTGATTTAGATTTTTATGTTTAATATACTAGATTTTCGTATTCGTCTATGTAATATGATATTTGAATTTTTCTTGCGATATCAATGAGAAAAATAATTTTCTTTAAAACTATGTTACAACTAGTATCTCAGAAGCAACAATGCGGTCCCTGACATTTACGACGATGATTTCTTCGTATCTGGAGAAACTACGTCATTCTCTTTATATAGATAAAGCATGTCTTCTCTCTATAGAGTGTTTCACTTTCTTTTGTAAAATTTATTTACGATCGATAACAGCTTCGTCATTATCAGTATTCTTATATAAGTAATTCAGATATTCAATCGTTAAAAATTAATAATTAAATTCAAATGAATTCGAACAAATTATAATATCGTTATTGTTTCTTTAATTATTTCTTTTTCTTTTTTTTCTTCTTCTACAGTCGTACACCAGGAAGTCGTCAGCCATCGCCAGGTGAAGAAGAATTTCAAAAAAATGCGGCGGCAACGTTAGCAGTTAGCGCAGGCGGTGCCGGGGTAGTTTTATTAAAACCAGGTGTCGACGTTGTCGGAAGTGAGGAACATTTTATGGCAGCGTTTGCTGCAGCACCACCGCACCATCTTCAACATCACCAGGCACCACCAACGCATCATCTTCAACATCCTCATTCCCATGCGGCGCAATTGTTTGGTGCACAAGCACCGCCACCCCCGCAAGCACCTCCACCATCACAACAACAGCAACAGCAACAAGGTCCACCCCAACCGCAGGACACTACAACTCATTTCGACGTACAGGTAAGTCCAGTTTTTTGTTTTTTTTTACCAATATATACATTTATTTTGTAGTTTTAATCTACGAAGATGCTGAATAATGTTCTACGCGTGTATTTTATTTATTTGTCGTGTAAATGATCAGGATAAAAAACAAAAAGGATTTTTATTGGTGATTAACATCAAGTCCTCCATCTTGTCACCGATTTATTTTCGCACAGGATTCTTCTATTTTTTCCATTTTTTTGTTTGATCGTTTGTTAAAAGGAATAAACGAATAACGTTGTTTATTTAGTCATAGACTTGTCTAGGATTTTATTAAGAAGGAAACAGTTTATTCATCTTTTCTTTATTAATTTTCAATAACAGCATTTTTAAACATATTAGTAATAATGAACAACAAACTATTTTAATATCATGTTATTATACAAATTAAAATAAATTCTTTTTATCTTCTCATACAGTTAGATACGTTCTAATACCACCGAGGTATTGCGTTATAGTAAAGTTAACGCAATTATATATTTAAAAATCTTATTACCATTAGCTATGAAATATTACAGCTATATTATCATCGTACGCATACCAGTTAACCGCACGAATTCATGATTATTAATATGATAGTACCGTTAGAAATGTATAAACTATGCCTATCGTTACGACAATAGTTTCGTAGCAAGCTTTCGTCGGTTAGAATCAAAGTTTCATCGTCTGAGAAATAAATATATAATTAGATGACTTACGCGAGAATAAGAGAAAAAGAAAAATATTATGCATTTTAATTATACGTAATATTTGTATCCTGTTCTGGTACTCTTAATCATTTCCATACTTCAATTGTCCTGCATCTTCAATTGGTGCTCACTGTAAAAACACAAAGACTATTTAAAAATAATTTTTTAAATTAGATCATTGCAAAAAGAAAACCCGTTACACATTTAATTTAACAATCAAAAATACTTAACATTACATGAAAGAATTTATTTGCTATACGTTATTGTTTTTTTATATAAACTCATGTTTAAGTTTAATTATTCACTACAGTGACAAACATAAGGAAGCATAGGAAAAAAACATAAGAAGCCGTATCTAATTGGTCAGGTAATAATACAAAAAAATGGTATACAAAAATAGAGTATGCACATTACAGTTTCAACAACAGCGTATTAATTATTACTCATTAACTTGATCTATTTACTCCCGAGACTGACGTCTTGATAAAATAGAAAAGTCACGTTTAATTAAATAAACGGATAAAAAGTTTGTAAATTTAGTTTTTTCAAAGCGATACGAAATAAAGGAAAAAAATTATCGAAGATATTTGCAATGCGTGCCTCTGGATGAGAATTCGAACGACAAAAGAATTTAGGAAAGGGTGAGAATAAGGGGTTGGTAGGTGGTTTGAAAGGAGGAAGAGGGGTAGGGTAGAGGAGGGGGTGGGTGGGGGAAGAACGACCTTGTCCTGCGGCGCAGACAAACGTATAAATCATAGAGTGACAGCCTCTCGACGTCTACTTCCAAACCTATTCGGAAAATAGAACGGTCGATATACGTCTAACCATTTTGTCGACAATTCACACAGGTTCATATATTATACATGAATATGCATATATATATATATACATATATTACAACATTTGTACTTTCATCTCATACGATTTAGCACCGAATCATCGTCCACGTGTATGTATAATAATATACCGGCAAATGTACTATTTAGATTTATATTTATATTCGTTGGATTCTTATAAACTTTTATCGTCAATTCTCTAAATGTTACTATTTGTATACACATTTATATGAAATGTAAGATATATATATATATATATATATTTGTTATATTAATTTTATTTATTAATAGCCGTTATTGACCAAAAAGACTTTAAAGAATAAATTTGAAGGATGAGAAACACAGTTAAAATTAGGCAACATTCTACTTATGTATTGCAATATATAAATTAATATTCTATATATTTTAATATATAAAAAACTATATATACATTATACACATATATACATATTATATATATATATATATATATATATAAAGCCATAAATATCTAAATATATATATATGTATAGATAGATATAAAAAGTGTTCATTGTGGTATTTTCTGGTGCACTTTTCTGATGGACGATTGGAAACTTTTTGCTGTACGATTAGACACGCTTTCCTTTCAAGAACAGCTGTACGAAAGAAGAATGAGATCCTTACATTCCTATCAGCGACGTAATATCTATTTCCATCTCTCTTTCTCTTTCTCTTTCTCTTTCTCTTCCTCTCTTTATTGCACATGCGCACGTTCTCGGCAAAAACGAGGCTTTAGAACCCTTCCGGCACGAAGCACACGTGAGGGAAGTATTAGTTCGGATAGGAGAACGATTGTAAAAAGAGCAACGGCGGGGGTTACGGGGGGATGACGAATAAATCGAGGTCGATTTGAATTTTCTTGCAAATCCTTGAAGATTTTTTAAAATAAGAGCGAAAGTCTCGACACGTTCTTCGAATTATTATCCTGTTTGGACCACTTTGATTAGATATTCTTCTTGACAAATCTTCCCGGGGGCCCCCTCTCTCTTTTCTTTTTTTCCTCTTTTTTTAATATCTTTTTCTTACGGTGTTTTTTTTGCATACTCGAGAACAGTTTTTTCTCGTTATTCCTACAATTCGGTTGTTATTTGATTTGATTTAATTTTATTTGATTTTATTTTTGTCTTTTCTTCATTCAAATAGATATATTTCTTCTTCTCTTCTTATCCCTAAGTTTTGTATTCGTTTCATTTATTCTTTCGCGAAATCCTTACCTTGATTTCTAAATATATATATATTTTTTGTTCATCCTGGTCACGTAAAAAGTACTCACGTAGTTTTGCTTATTTTCATCACGTGTTATTTCACTAGTCCTAGGTATTAGAGTGTATTACAATGGTTTTGATTCTTTTTTTTTCTTCTTTTCTTTTAATATTGTAATAGAGAATAGAACAAAAGTTGCAATCATTTTGTTAACGTATATTAAATAAAACACAAAACAAAAATAAAAATGTATTCAAATAAATGAGAACTGTATATAACCATAGCTAAAAAGATGTACTTCTTTTTATTTTTTTTATGGGACAAGCACGAAATGTCTTAGAAGGATCGTCACGAAAAAAAAAAAATATTAAACGTGTGGTCATTAATTAATCAAAGATGATCCTTGAAAAACACGCATAAGATAATATTTCCTTTCTATTTCTCTTTCTTTTTTCTCGTATTATATGCGTTCTTCGTATCCACAGTTATTATCACAAACTTTCTTTAAAGATCGTCGCGAATAAATCTCTAACTCTAACACAGGACGATTAAAATCTAACTTAACAAACCTAACGATTTATATATACTTTTTATTTATTTATTTATTTATTTATATATACATACATACTACGCAACTTTAACTAACACAACCGATATACGATCGGTTTTTAAATAGTATTATTATATTTTTTTTTTTTCTTTCTTTTGCAATCGCGCGCGTGTCAATTTTTAATTACAAATTTCAAACCACCATTTTCGTTTGATTCATTTGCGTAGTAAGTTTTAGAATTAAATTATAATCATATAGCGTCATTTTTTTCAATTGATTTTTAATTCTTAATTCCTTTTCCTCCTCTTTTTTTTTTTTTTACCAAATTTGATTTTATTTTCTTTTGTTATTTTTTTACCATTTTCTTTTTTTTTTGGATTTCTTTATTTTTAATATAGTCGAGACACTGGTGTATTACGTAATTTTTATTTGATTTCTCTCGGTATTTTTATCATGCCTAACTTTTAACGTCGTACCAATGAAGAAAGAAGAAGGAAGGCGTGCTGAAATTTTCCACGTGGCTCGCGACCCGTCGTACAGGTGCACAATCCACCGCATTCTCTATCCTTTCTCCCTCCTTCTCGTCCTCTTCCCTCTCTCCTCCCCCTTACCATTCTCACCCTTCTTGCTCTTTTCCGCTCTCATCCTACGCTCGGATGAAATCGCAGAAAATCGTTTTAGCGAAGGAAGGGTTTGGTGATGGGGGAGGGTGGGGAGATCAGATGGAAGTTAAAAACCTGCCGTTTAAAACAAATCTCACTCCTCACCTCATGGAAAAAAAAGAGAAAAAAAAAAAGAAATCTCTACGTTATTAGTCGAAGGTTATTCCTCATTTCGAAGATCTCTATTTCTCTTTTATTGTTATTATTATTATTATTATTATTATTATTATTATTATTATTATTATAAAAATAAAACGAAAAAGAAAAATGTTTTATAGCATCTGACGTAACGTTACGTCAACGCAAATTTCACGAAATATCGACCTCCTTCCGTTTACGTTCTTTCTCTATTCCCCCCGGTTTATTCTTTAGTTTTTTTTTCTGTCTTTTTTTTTTTTTGTTTTTTTTTTCTTTTTTGTTTTGCGCTACTGATGGTGCACGTCGCTTCGATATGTGTGCCTAACATAAAAATAGAACTACGGCCAGAGAGAAAAGAGAGAGAGAGAGAGAGAGAGAGCATTATGTCGGGATTTATGCACCAACGTGCAACCGCTTGTTTTCCTGCTACTCTTCTATCCCTTCATGTGTGTTTGTGTTTGTATGCGTGCATGGATGCATATATGTATGTATATATGCATATATGTATGTATGTTTGCATATAATATGACATGTATATATATATAATTGTATATGCGCTTATATATATCTATATATATATGTATATACATGTGTTTGTTTGTTTGTATATACGAAGCGTGTATACGTTCTATAATATATGCTTATATATGTCGATACACGTGTTTATACCGTATATACGATACATTCTTGCTTTATATACGCTTATGTTTATATAATGTGTGTGTATATATATATATATATTTATGTATATGTGTATATATATATATTTATATATATAAAGGGAAGTTATCCTAGTAGGAAAAATGCGTGGACGCATGAGACGAGTCGTTCTCTGATCGTGTTATTACGCGAAGGCTCGTGCTTAGCAGTGCATGAAGCG